TCGGCCGGCCGATGGTGGCGGCGACGGCGACGGCGGCGGCCGCGGGACGACGGCGTGGGGCGGCTCTCGGGCGGGCGAGCGAGCGAGGCGGCTGGCACGGCGTGCGGCTGGCTCTGGCGGGCGGCGGCGAGGCTGGACCGCCGCTTCTGGACGCAGCCGAGGGCGCGTGAGAGCGAGGGCGGGGCGAGGCACGACCGTGCGGGGCGGGCGACGGGCGGGGGGATCGGGGCGGCTGGCCCGCCATTGTAACTCCTCAATCAATGGTTGCATATAAACATCTATCAACTTTTTCGGATTTTGCGGCCTCACGATCAATGTCGAAACATATAAGGTGTCTTCATGCACATACTGGTGGAAGATTGTACGGCGTTAAGATAACGGCCAACATGAATAACTTTTTCCTATTTTCCCAAATGGAGCAAATCCATCGGCACAGAGACCTAACTCGATGTTCCGAGGCTCCATCACAAACTCGGGTATGTTCTATCAAAATGTTGCCATGCCTCCGCATCTCGAAGGATGACACATTAGACCCTCTTCTGTTTCATGATTTGCATGCCAAGTCATGTGTTCAACAAGGCTTTAGACGCATAAAGCCTTTGCAATCTGGGATTAAGGGCGGATAAAACATTTGCTTGCATGGTCTACGCTTCGATTACGACCCGGCCTCCCGTTAATCTTGTACCTAGGTTGGCTACAGAATTTGCAAGATTCTGCATTTTCATCATCTCTCCAATATATCATACAACCCATACTACATACATCAATCCTTACAACCGGAAGACCTAAGTTATCCACTAGCTTTTTCATATCATAAAAATCACTTGGCATGATGTTATCACGAGGCAATGATTCTCGCATTACTTCAACAAAAGAGTTGAAGCAATCCGCAGACAAATTATGCTCTGCCTTGATATTTAATAGTCGGGCTATCACCGATAACTTAGTGTGGTCCTCACAACCTGCCCATAAAGGTTCATCTACCGCTTTCAACACATCTCGTAACCGATTAGATTGAAAAGTTTCATTATAGACATTCTCATCAAAACCCGTTACTCCTATATCTTCCAACTGTGAAGCGTGACTAGTACCCACTTGTTCACGTGTAGGAGTAAAACTAGTACTTGCATGATTTGATTCTGTGACAAAATTATAACTAGCTGCATCAATCACCATCCTCTCGTATGAGTTTAATTGCTCATAATAGCCACATTCTTCCTTAACTGAAAATTGGTCACTTCTTCCATATCCTTCATCAGATATAAATGGTTCACCATGGGAAGTCCAATTATAATAGTTCAGACTAAACCCAAATCTAGTAAGGTGTTCTCTAACTTGATCACACACAAGAAATTTACCATTACCGCACTTTTTACACGGACACCTTAACTTATTTCCATCCATGAACTCATATTTACTACTAGCAAAGTCTAAAAATAGTTCCAACCCAGTACGAAACTCATCTGTCAATCCTTGACATCCGGGTAAGTTCTTATTATACATCCAAGCCCTTTCTCTTTGCATTGTGTCTGTATTAAAATAAAAAATTTTGGTAAAATATTTAAAATATCATATCTATTGTTCTTAATTAAAACCATAAAATTTTGGAAATTATAATTTTTGTTATTCACGCAACAATTAATATGAAATTGCAAAAATAGAAAAAATTACCATGTAAAGAAGACTTACCTAAATATTTGACTAAAATATTGGTAGGAGAAAGTGGTCAATTTGATGAGAATTGCAACGTCCACTTGGATTGCGAGACCTTCAATTAGACACATACCCAAAAAAAATAATCACTTAAGAATCATTTTTTAATAATTTTTAATGTGCGATGGAAACGGAATTCATCCCTCGCAAATTTGCGACGGATCCTTGATTCCGTCGCAAATTTGCGACGGAATTTTCATTTATTCGTCGTAAATTTGCGACGGAATTAACTTTCCGTCGCAAAACGGCGTGGCCGTTCGGCCTCATCCAAAGGCCGGCGAGGTGTCGCCAGTCGCCGGTCGTTAAACGAGTGATGCAGATACGAAAAAAAAACAAACATAAACATATATAAAATAAAAGAAATTATAATTCAACGATGAATAGTCACGAAGCTAGCTATGATACTTATCGGTACAAAAGCTTCACCGAGATTAATATGTGCGTGCGCATTTTGCTGATTTCGAGACATATGAAAGAGGGAGAAAAGCGAGAGAGAGCGAGAGAGAGAGAGAGAGAGGGTTGGAATATCACGGGCTGATAAACTACAAATTTGCGACGGACGTTCGTTTTCGTCGCAAATTTGCGACGGATTTGGCGACGGTTTTTTTTCCGTCGAAAATTTGCGACGAACTTTTTGCGACAGATTTATTTTCCGTTGCAAATTTGCGACGAACTTCTTTCCGTCGCAAATTTGCGACGGTTTTTTTTCCGTCGGAAATTTGCGACGAACTTTTTTTGTCGCAAATTTGCGACGGAATTAGCGACGGTTTTTTATTTCCGTCGCAAATTTGCAACGAATAAAAATTCCGTCGCAAATTTCCGACGGATTTTTCATCCGTCGCAAATTCTGTCGCAAATTTGCGACGGAAATAAACCGTCGTTAATTTGCGACGGAAAATATAATCCGTCGCAAATTTCGTCGCAAATTTCCTACGGAAAATTTCCGTCGCAAATTACATGTTTTTTTGTAGTGTTAGCCATCCCAAATTTCGTCGCTAATTTCGTCGCAAATTTTCGACGGAAAATTTCCGTCGCAAATTACATGTTTTTTTGTAGTGGCAGACCAAAAAATTGATTTGTCACGAACAAAACTATTGTCATTGATGATTGCTTTGACTGGCTCCACGGAATTGGTCAAAAATAGAGGGGATTATTATACAAATGATCCATGAACTTTGACCCAATGTGTAATGCGATCCCTAAACTTTCAATTTGTTTAATGTAGTCCCTAAACTTTAACCTAATATGCAATGTGATCTCGGAACTTTTAATTTGTTTGATGTGGTCCTTGGACATTTAATGTTCAATCCAGCCTCTAATTATATGAAAATGTCCAATATCATCCTTCAATTCATTCAAATTCAAGGACAATATTGAATATTTTCATATAATCCAAAAATAAATTGAACATGTACCAAAAGTTCAGGGATTACATTGAACATATTAAAAGTTCATGAATGATATTGCACACTGGATTAAAGTTCAGGGACCATATTGAACAAATTGAAAATTCATGGATCACATTGCATATTAAGTCCAAGTTGAGGGACTATTTGTGTCATTTTCTCAATATACATCGAATTATTTAAGTGCCTAACTATTCGGGCTCATTTCATAATAGATGGGACATGCTATTCCGTTGAGCAGAGGAGCTCATAAATGTTAATTTTCTTTGGACTTTGGTGGAGAAAATTTACCCAACTCACAAGTAAAATAACGACAGAGACGTGTTTCTATGAATTTTCCTTACATAAAGTCAGAGTCAAGCAAGCATGCCACGTCTTTCGACACTTCTATGTATTGCCTAGGGTATATCCGCTTTACCAAAATTACCGCACATTGGTTTCGACACACATTGGATAGCTACCGACACCATCGGGCATAATTATAAGACAGAGATTTTGATCCATCCAAAAGCGACATAAATTGACACATTCAAGCTCGCTCAACATATAATGTCTTGGAACGGAACGACTTAACACATTCGTGATCTGAATGTAACGTGTGAACAAGAATTGCTGTTTGCGCCATTTATTTTCTTTAGCAAAGATGAAGCAACCTCTGGATTTAATACCTTTCTCAAAGGTTTATCCACGACACCTTTCCCGAAGTAGTGCAACCACAGCCCTGTTCTTCCCTGAGCATTACTTTCATATTCACTGTTTTTTTCCTTCGACTTTGCCCTTCATTCTCCTTTATTTTATCATCTCTTTGCTTTATCCTATTTTTTTCTTCTAAATTTCATGAAAACATTTAACAATTTTAGATCTTTTTTGGTAATTAAGCCACACCAACTAGTCAAAAATTTCTGCATGAATACTGGGGTTTGAGAATCACAATACAAGAAGATGCAGACCTGAACTGACGTTAACTTACCAATAAAAAGAGTACAGGGCAGACATATTTGCAACATAATAAAGTTCCGTAGTAATCTACTTCGCAACATCTAGACCCCATTCAAGAAACAGATTAAACTCTGATGTCATTCTCAAATCAGCATCAGCTGAGCTTGAGTACCCTTGGTGGATCAACTTTGGGAAAGGACCTTTGAAGAATGCAAATATCTTTAGGTTAAAGCCCCTTGAGAAAATGCAAATGGCATTTAGTAATTTTTTATGTTAAAGCCCATTTGAAGAATGCAAATACCTTTAAGTTAAAACCCCTTTAGAAAATACAAATACCTTTAGGTTAAAAAATTCTTTGTAAAACTACTTTGGCCAAAGTATTATTTGGCTATTTTTTTTTTTTGCAAAGGACTTTGGGAACCTTTTTTTATTTAAAAAAAAAATTACCCTTCGCCCAAGCCGACGAAGGGTTACGACTGCCGACGAGCCAGATCTGGCGCCAGCGATCATCGCCCAACCTCGGGCGACCCCCGGTGAGGGTCGCCCAACCTCAAGCGACAAGGCCTAAGGTTGCACGACCCAAGCGCCGTCGCCTAGACTCTTGCGACCCTAGGTGACGGCCCCCTAAGGTCGCGACCCAGGCCAACATCGCTTGGGGTCGCATGACCCAAGCCGATAGCCGCCTGGGGTCATGCGACCCAGGCCGACGGCGCCTGGGCAGTCGCCCAACCTCAGGCGACCGTCGCCTGGGTCGGGCGACCTCGCCGGCCCTTTGCCGTCCAAATCCGGTGTCATCGTCCGCTCTCGTTGGCCATGCTTTTGTGAAGAAAATAAACAGTAACAAGGAGGCAAAATCAGAATATTAAAATTTGAGTGAGGGTAGTTTGGGATGTGGTAGGCCGAAAGCCCAAAGCTGGTCTGGACCAGCTTTGGGCTTTCGGCATTCCAAATGCTAGCATTTGGCCAATGCTAGGCCGAAAGCTGAACCAAACGGGTTACAATCATGGTGCCTTTGTGACCAGACAAAGTGATACATGAGTTATCATCGACACCATTTGTTCCATAAAGAAACCCAGACCGATTTCTTTTGTGTACTTTGCTACAACCAACATACCCTCTATCACAATATCAGGGCCAGAAGTAACATAGCCAAAGGTATCCACAAGTTTTGCTTATAGCCAACTCTCTCCAAGAATATTAGATCTGAAATGATGTCAAAGTTGCCTAATTAATCAAACGATCCTCTGATGCCTTCAATGCTCTCTCCAAGTGATAACCTGGGAAGCACAGAAACAAATGAAATAAGATGGTGTCTAATAGATATAAAAGAGTACTTTGCCCCGAAAAGACAGATGGAAAAGCATGACAGCAAGAAAATCCGCTGAAAGATATGAGATGATGTCAATATAGGAAGGACGTGAAATTCCATCAGAAACCAGTAGTGGGAAAGTTTACACTCAGAAGTGTGGATCGACAGTTTCTCACTGGACCTACCACCTTTTAAAATGCCGCAAGTGCCTACCCAAATATAGCCCAAACACTGTGCTGTGTTTACCATCCATCTCAACAGAACAATTCACGTGCAAGGAAAATGATCCTCAGTTCCACAAGGGACGCGTGTACACTTCTATGTAATCAGCCATTTCACATAAAAATGCAATTGGAATTTTCAGCAATGAAATTATAAAGAGATATCACAGAACCTCTAGAACTGCAAGTGATTGAGAATTTTCAGTTGAGGTTTTGAGTAAGGCCAAAAGTGATGCTGCAAAAGTAACTGTTGAAAGGAAAGAATCCTTGGATATATGTTTCCTCTCTTAGGGGCTGGAGACTTCTAACAGAGATCCTAGTTCACGAAATTTTACAAGGTGAGAAAGAAGACCGCATGCCTGGTATAAAGTTTTTCAGCTCAATGACAGAGCACGTAAATTTCAGATGCGAAGCATAGGGAGATTGGTTGTAGTATATTAAAGGATAGGCACATTCTGTCGGAAAGCCCATCTCCGTTCTAGGTGGGCATTATATTCCCTAAAGCGAAAAGAGAAAATCAAGACAGCTGTAGAGGCTGATGATGATTTGGTTTGAGCATCTTTCTCTAGCTGACAAAAGCAAAAATTGTCACAAGGCAACTGGGACAAAGTGTCACTGTTAACCAACAAATAGGGCAAAAGTAATCGGCTTAATAAATTTCTCCTCATTCTCACAAATAGAGACATCATCAAATATTGTGCTGACAATATCATTTTGCCAGGTTTCTAATTCCTTAATCTTTATTCTGACTAATCTATGACTTTGGTACTGTACGTACTTGATTGACATTCTAGTAGAGGGAATTTTTTAATGTGAAACCCATGGTGTTTCTTCTGTCTTGCTCATTAAATTGTCTCACCCGTTCTACTGAATTTTACATTGTTTCTACCCACGAGTGAGGGGTTGAAGTTGTTTGCTCATTGTTTAAACTCTGCATGGTGAGAGTTGTCGAAGATCACTCTTGCTTTGCTCTTGCTGACTTTTCGTACATTCTAATTTTCTCACTTGTATCTTTTGTCCGTTCATTATTTTATTGGAGTGAATGGAGAAAGATAGAGAGGGTGATATAATTGTCGCTGCATGATTTGGTAAAGGATTAGATTTCCTACTTTTAAAGTTTGCTAGAGAAAACTGGGGTTTGTTGTAACTTCTGAGGCTTCCACACTTTTCCGGATGATTTGTGCATGTCTCATAAAAAGGCCATGGCAAGAGCTTCAACGGTTGCCTTAGCAGGATACCACACCTAAAGCAAGACTGCTAACTTATATCCAGCAGCACTCAAGGGTCCTTGAAAGGACGCAATAGTTTTGCAAGCAAAATCATAAGTGTGTCATTGGGGTAGCTGTGGCTTTAGCTTTGACTATAACCGTAACATAATGTTTGAATAACTCTAATGTTTAAAACATTTATCTTGTTAAACCTAGAGTCATACTAAATCTTTTTATTATGTAACAGATTATATTTTTAGCTTCTAAGTTGGGTTACAACAGCCACAAATTTATTATCAAGGACAGGCCACCCTAAACCTCCAATAATAAACTTCCTTTTTTTCCTCATTTGAACTCGGAACTTGTTTCCAAAAAAACTCAGAACTTGTTTCAACTTTTACACTTGAGCTAATAACCTACTAAAGATGACATAGCACTCCTATTTCATCTATTTGAATGTCCACCCCAAAAGATTAAGATATTAGATGGAAAGAAACTTCATGCAAAGCCCATTGAAACCCGAATATCAGGCGATGGAGATAACGTCATCAAATGGATCTTTCTACTAATTTCTCGTAGATTACGATCACTTATCCCTTCCTTAATATTCCTATTGGCTGACAACCTCATAATACCTAAAAGATACTCCTCCAATAACTCCAGATTCAAGAGGGTTAATATCACAACATTACATCAAAAACAGAAGCTATCTATCAAAGTACTTCAACATGAATCATCCTATTCTTATGCACAAACAGCTTCAAACGTCCATTCTAGATTTTAAGTGAAACCATCTCATTTAACCTTATGATGTACTCGACGCTCATCCCTGTATAAATCTAAGCAAAGAATCTTCTATTCATCAACTATTATATGGGATAGTTAAGCGGATAAGACAATTTTCAACTTTCTATTATATGTCCTACCAACAACATACACCATATGTCATAGTAGTTAGTCGCTGAAAATATAAAAGGCAGCTGAAAGAACTAGAAGCAAAATATAGTCGAATAGTAATAGAAAAGAAAGCTGATATTCTGGGGCTTAGAAGCCAAAATGCATTTAGAATAAGACATCCGGCTACAAAGTGTCTTAAAGACTATTTATTTATTGTGTTCCAGATATAACTAGAACTCGAACTTAGATTAACTCTTTCGATCACGAGTATTTAACCTCATCAAATGTCGCATGCATATCACATAACCACTAATTATAGACCTTACTACGTAAAAAGACTAAGAAAGAAATTAAACACTCAAAACTACTTGGGGACAACTACGCCTTAGTATCAATGAGTCTACCTGCCTTCATACACAATATAGATTTTCATGTTTATTCCACAAGCATATGTAAATTAATAAATAATTTAATTAGTTATTTTTATCACCGCCAAAATGAGTATCTACAAGATAGAACTTACTTATGCATGCAGTATTTGTATTCCTGGCCCCGTGTAAAGTCTTTCTCTCCTTCTTCAAGCTACAAAATGAACACATCCCTATATGTATTAAAAAAAGCTAGAATATGTAAGGGTTTGAATAAAAGATATAGCGAGACTTAATGGAGGTTCCTCTTACTGGATCACTTTCATAGACAATCTCATAACAAGTTGGAGAAAGGCATTTCAAAGCACAATTTTCCTTTGCTATCATTGAAGACTTGCATTGCCAACCCCATAAGCCGCTGCAAGAATAGAAAATGTGGAGAGTCATGCAAAAGTGATGGACATTTCTCTAATCGAATATATTTATGAACACCCCTTCACAAGAGATTTGCATCGCAGATATGCCGTGAGTCTTTATCACTTTGCACTTGTATGGAGGGACTAACTAGAGTCACAAGATGGATTGTGAGCCATGTAGAAATTGGTGGGCTTACTGACAATCCATATGAAATCTTATATTAACAGATGAATGACATTATAATATTTAAATGCTTTAACACGTACCCACAAGCATAAGCTAAGATTTGGCCCAAGACTAGCAAGGAAATTGAAAAGGAAGCAAGAAGTGTAGTACATATGCAGTGAGTTCTGTAACACTAGTAAAAAGGCAGGAACAGCTATTATTATTACAGTGAGCTACTCAAAGGTCTGGAATTTTGCTATTTGATCTAATGTTCAAAGGTTATAAAGATATGAATACAAAAATATGTAGAATTTTAAGTTGGGTAGGTTGATTAGACAAGTGCTTCTTGCTCCTTACAAATCGTCTAAGTACAGAGGGTTGCATGCTATTAGTTCAACATAAGGGGTAAAGAATGAGTTCATGCGTGGAACGTGGATGTTAAATCAAATTAACAATGGGATGACAGCAACATACAGATGGATGATTGCATTTGAATTTATTCAGTTTTATCCACCAGACAATAAGGATGAACACAAAGTTCACTAATTGAAGCTGTGGTAAGACAATAAATGCGACGCAGCACGACCGGATCACATTGAACCGGTGATATCGTTCATCGAGAAGCCAATTAGCATATTCCACACGGGACAGGGGAACAACAGCTCCCTCAAGCTGAATTCAACTTGTTCCAACAACCGTGAACCCCCCAAAACCCCAAGTCTCCGCCATCCATCGAAAAAATTGCAGCATCCAACCGCCCATCGCACAAGATATCAAAAGGGTGCACCGATGCAACATTACAAATTAGCATCCCCCCATTTCCCAAGCTTTTTGTTCTCGCGTAAAAGAGATGGGCAATGGAATTACCTCTCTATATCAGCATAACACTCGTTCTTCTTCTGCCTGATCTCGTTGTCCTAGTCCGAGGAAGACGAAACAGAACGGCAAAAAAAACGCACGAGAAATCAACCCAGAAATTCCAGCCGACCAAGAAGGGAAAAAAAAATTCAAGAACGCGTCGCGCGCGGGGGGGCTTACGGAGATCGGGAAGCGGGACTTGGCGAGGGCCGCCGGAGCCGCGAGAAGCGAGGAGAGGAGGAGGAAGAGGAGCAGGCGGAGAGGGCCGGGAGGAGGAGGAGGAGGAGGGCTGCCGCCGGTTCCGGCCATGATCGGTCGGAATCCGAATGCCGCCGCGTGTATCGAACCTCGGCGACGGAGCGGTGGGCTTCCACGAGGGCTTGTGGCCTGACGAACTGTGACGGTTGTCCTGGTGTTTTACAAGAAGAGCGAGCTCTTTAAATTTTCTCTCTTGATCGTTGAGCTAAAAGTTGCTATTGAGGTTGAGCAAACGAGTGTGTGAATTTAGGGTAGACCATGAAATCTGGTTTCAGCTTCCAAAAATTAGGGCACCCGATGTTCCAGGTTCTAGGTGGAATCGCGAATCTAGAACCTGAAACTTTAAACGAGTTTTTTTTTTTTGTTTTTTCTTGATCTGTGTCTTCTCATGATCCTGCGGTGTGTATAATCTGGAACCGCTGGCCTGAGCTTTCATGTTAATATTTTATATTTTTCGTGTGTCTAAATATAAGTTGTGGTCGGTGAATCGTAACAACAAATGATAGTGCGATGATTCGCTGCAATTATTTAATTAATAATACAGATGAAAACCTGGTTGGACCCTAAAACCGACCTTGGAACCTCCTATAGAATAGGTTTCAGGTTCCAAGATATATAAAGCAAGTTCTAGGTTCCAAAAAATGAGGAACATGTTCCTTTGATAGGTTCTAGGTTCCAGGTGGAACCTGTACGGAACCTGGAACTACTCATCCTTAAGGAAAAAGACCATTGTGAACGGGGGATATGCATCGGTGACTGAGCTGGCCGAGCACCGATTCTGGGTGGTTCCCAAAAAGATAGGTCTGACTCTCGATTTCAAAAATTTGGGATCAAGATTAACCAATCCAGTTCTCAAGACCGAGAATAATTGGTCCGATTCCCGGTTCCACATAAGAAATCGGAACGACAGACCTGCCAAGGCTTCTAAATTTTTTATTCTTAATTTTTTTGATCTTTTATTCTCTAGAGGAGAATAGAAGAAATTAAAAAAAAAATTACCGATTCCACGACCGATTGGACCGATTTCTAACTCCACAAATTAAGAACCGAACCAGGATGAAAATCTACTCATCCCGAAACCGATCATCTCTGCTTATGAACGTGCGAGTGATTATTAGATTAACATGTTGAGTTGCCGTGTCGAAAATGAAGTTGCTATTGGAAGAGGGAAAGCTATGTGACAAGACAAGTGAATGATAGATTGAACCGGAATCATAATTTGAACGCGACCGACTGATGTCGTATCATTTGTATATCGGTGGGTATCTACGGCCTCGACTTAGTGCATCTCTTAAAGGAGCGACATTATTTGTGAACGGTCTCTTGCATATATGTTAGTGCGCAACGTTGAACACAGAAGATCATTAGCTGATAAGCAACATTGTCGCATGAAGCTCAAAAATCAAAATCTATTTTGGTAAAGCTACTACTGGCAGGAGCCAAACAAAATCCTTGCATTTTTGCTCCCTCGAATTCGCTACTTTCGAAAAATATGCATAAACCCTGTGTAAATCCTACCTTTCGCAGACCGTCGACGTACAGACTTGGTATGTACCGGGATCGTTCCCCTCGAAACAGAAGAAGAGGCCACTCGACACAAACTTGGAACCACCCAAAACGCAAACGCGACGAATCTGAATGGACAGCCACCTAAATTTAGCAGCATGTTATACGAGCCATGTGGTCTGAACACACTAGATAATCTGCGCGCTAGAGAATCATCAAGAAGATGCGATTGACTCTGATTCACTTTCTCCGGATTCAGACACGGGGATTGCTCCGGAAAAGTTGAACTTCTTGTCGATGGAGAAGATGCTAGCGATCTGCCGGACTACGCTTTGGACTGCGACACTTGTAGGAGTGACGGACTTGGGAAGACTGGGCAGACACTTGGGAAGAAACTCCTCCTTACCTGAGGTTGGGATATACAGACTCAATACTGCCTGGCAAAATAGAAATCTGCACAAGAAATGGACAAAGAAAAGGAAAAGAGAGATGAGAAAAGCCTGAAGCAAAACGTGCATGTTATATAATCATTCGAAAGATACTTCGTCAAAAGGCGCTCTGTACACTCTCGCCAGAAAACTATCACCTCTCAGAAGCTAAATTGCTAGAATCCAACTGTAAAATAAGTTCAAAGAGAATAGTGACTGGTAACAATTCATTGCAAGTCAAAGAAATAGCCCCACAAAACCTGCCGCATCCCAATGCTTTGAACTGTATTAGTTTTACAGCCCAATTCTCCAGTATTACTAAAAAGCTTAATCCGGTCAAACCACATTGATATATTCACTAGTTTGGCCAATCGAACCGGGTAAAACCTACTTTTGACCAATGTTTTACTCGGGTGAAAGCAAAATAAAGAAGCATCCAAGAACTGGTTTGGCCACTCCAGTGCAGTTTCAAAACATTAGCACACAATGCACAAGACAATGAAAAAGAATGTAATGTGAGGGAGTAGATTGGAGAGCTTTTCATCACTGAGCGAAAGCCGCTCTTTTCTTGAGGTAGGCTGCTTAAAAGCCTCGTTGTTCCCTTACCAATACACCAACATATCGACCAGCCTTTTCTAATCTGGTGTAAGGTTTTGACAATCATAACTTCCAGAAAGATAGGTCTATGATACGAAGGGTAAGACAATCTTTCAAATCTTTAGGACCAGGTGACTTTTTCATGATGATCAAATATGGACATGCCAGATAATTGAAATTTAGCATACAATTAAGCTGTGTAAACAGGGATTCAGCTGAACAAAAAAACAGGCAGGTATTCAGAAGTTTTTCAAACTAAGTGTCCAACAACAAAGCTGAGAAAGCTACAAGAAGTTAACTTTGGCGCCTTTGGATATCCTATGCTAGCTATGTTGCACAAAAACTACAAAAACTAACCAGCTGAACATCTCTGTGTAACATATATGGAGTCACATATGGCAAAACATCTGAGCTGTTGATTTGGAGAGTCCATAATAATATCTCCACGAAAAAAGTAACCATAAACCAGCTTATGCATTCACTGTTGAGGTGAAAGCCCAAAATATGTAGGACTTATATTTGCAAATGTCTCTCTACATCCTTTGTAAATTAAACAAACTTACCTGCTTTCCCTATTCTCTTAGCATGAGTGATAATCACTGAACATAATTTCAGTGCTAGAGAGCAAGGAAACTACTGATAATTTGTTTTAGCTATTTGATACAACTAATTACTCATGAAGAGCACCACAATTCGCAGCAAACTTATTAGATGATGTCAAAAACAGTGAAAAAATATCCAGCCTCATGGACAAATTTTCCATGTCATGCACGTCTGGGTTTGGTCAGTTGGGGTGAGCATAACAGAAGGATTCAACAACCCCTATTAATTCAACTTCCCAACTCCATCTATGACCTTAAAGTCTGAATCATCCAATCTCATGAGAAAGCCAAGCAAGAGACCACATCTTCAGCCAACTAATTAATCCAACAACCGAACCACTAAACTTGAACTGTTAATAGCATTGAAATCTGCACACTCATCTATATGCATGTGTTGGAAACCAGGCCAACTTATACATAGACTCTCCCAGTAACATGGCCACCATTACAAAACTCAATTCTATGATCAGAAGCAAATATCAGTTGTCGATTTGCAGGAGAAGTATGTATGTAATAGAAATGAATTAGCCAACAGAGAGACACTGATCAGTACCTGATAAGAAGTCGCCTTAAAAAAGGGTCATTCAGAATTTGTGCCCAGACAGGATTAAGGGAGTCAGATGTTGCCAAAGCAAAACCCCAGTCATTCAATGAGGACGAAAGCAACTTCTCAGCTTTACTAAAAACTTCCTGAATGGTTTTATTCCTGTTAACTTATTGAAAGAAACTAAAAAAAAGAAAACTAAAGCATGAGGAATGAGAAGGGCTCATTCTTACATACCATATGAATTTCTGAGCTTGAAACACCTAGCAATATACAGAATGCCTGCAACGGAGCTGTGAGGAAGATTGTAAATAAGCTTCCACCAGGGCAACGAGAGAAGTCGTGTGCGACAGTTGGAGCTAAACTTCTTGGAGATAAAAGAAGTGCAGCAGGTTCTCCTTTTTCCGCTCCATGTATAGCCTGCGACGACAGCAATCAACAGAAATTCCTAACTTTGCCATGTAATGCTAAATTACACCAGACAGAGTCCAGACTTCTACAAGAAGTAAGTCAAATAGAAAACCTTTGAAAGTTAGAAGAACAAGGAGGACACATAATTTAGACAACACATGGACTCTAATTTTTGTGAGGTTAGTCCAAAAGGTACACGATACAAAAAGATTTTTGGACTATCAATCTTGCAGTCAACATTATTCTGTCGTCATGCCAAACTCCAGTTTTCTCACTAGAAGAGGGGCAGGAATGTAATAGCATTGTCACAGTATGCCCATGTTAAAAAAAATTATGTTTTACATGCTCCCTGATCACCAACAAAATGGTAGAACAAGGTGAAAATAGATGCTAAGATGTAGTGATGGGTAAAAAAAAAAAATATTCATGTACGAGAAGAAACTTTTGGCATGCTTCTAATGGAAAATGTCTCTTACTTTAGACTGGTGTGAATGGATCTATATTTTTCAAAAACCAACTTAAGTTTTCTAATCCATATCAATTTACATCCTCACTTTTCAAAAAAACAATTTGCACAAACAAACTAAATCCACCATGTCAGCTCTATTCAGAGCTTGGACATGGCAGTCATGGAGCTCGTCGAGGCAGCCATGGCGAGCTTTGTCGGAGCTTGCCAGGGTCGCAGCGTCGAGACCTCAATCTAGGCTGTCATGGAGGTCGGACTGTCGCCTATACTTCCATGTATGAGGAAGATATTTTGGGCATGCTTCTAATTGAAAATGCTTCTTACTTCAGAGTGGTGTGAATGGATCTATAAGTGCACTTTCACACCTACACATTCTTGTAGTTAATTTACTCACTCTTCCGCAGTCTAACACAATCCATCCAAATGAACCTCAATGAGCTGATATCACCTCATGATAAAATAAGAAACAAATAACTATATTCAAATATATAATTAACATCGACTGCTACCACTTAGGAGCTATATTTCAAAGGTAGGAGATTACCTCCATTAGTGAATCACAGTTATTAAATGACAATTTCTTGAAAAAGCTTCTCTTCTCCAAGTAGCATACACTTCATTACTTGCCAACCGCACTTAGTGGGCTAAGGTTTAGTTTGTTGTTGCTGTGTCATACACTTCATTGCCTAATTCGCAAGATTATTGCATAAATGCCACCAAGACACTTCAAGCATGATACAAAAATTACATGCACAACAGGAGAAATACGTTGGACTGAGCAGAAAGAAAATTCTTTATCACTGGTAACATAACTCACACAGCATCCATAGTCTAGCAAAATCACTGGCTTTTAACGATTGAACAGGGCGATGGATCCAGAAATTAAGAATGGAAGAAGGATCATGGGAATCAGTCCGGCAACACGTAGTTGTTAACTTGTTATATTGTTTAGGTTGCTCACTAACTCACCTACTTTCAAGAAAAAATAGATATTTACAAGCTTGCAGTTAGCAGATCTAGTTAGTCCCTTACTTACCTCAAAGGCCATGCTGCTGTCGCTGTCAATTACTAAAACCAGTGGCCTCCTTGTGAATGGAAGTAAGTCACAGGGATATATGCAATTTGAACCTGACAGTTTACTGTCCGACATTAGGAGGAGAAACTTCTTAATGGAGAATAGCATCTACAGTATTTAACTCTTTTCTTACGGGAAAGGAATAAATTATTGCAAGACTTACAAAAGCAGTTCAACAGTATGAGTACCATAAAATAAGTTGGAAATATAAATAACAGATGAAACATCTCCCGAAAACTGTCCTTCCAAATTTTTGTATGGATCAATAATTAAGAAAAGGAAGTATCACAAGTTCCAAGACCAATAATGCAGACCAATCACCATTTTACAACATTACTTAACATTGGCTCTCCATCATCTAGATCCTCTTTTTGTCCCTAAATTCTCAAAATTCAACCCTCAAAATGAGAAATGAGCATGTAATTTGATGCAAACCATATGTTGCACCAGCAGTTCATGTGCAGGAAGGCATACAAGGCAAAGTTTTTCCAGTTCACAAATTCTGTATTGTCTTATGACAGTCTTAACCAGCAAAAATATCAGTAACAGACACCAAGATTCAGAAATGTATGAGACAATATCAGCATGATTAATTAATTGACAAAAGAAATTGATTAATTAGGCCATAAGCTATGTAAAGGAAAAGCACTAATCATCTAAACACAGCCCAGTAGAATAGATTTCCATGTACCTAATTAGGCTTTCCTACAAAAAAAGATAACAATTATTTTGCACTTCCCAGAAAGTAAGTTTACTCTAAGAGAAAGCCAAAAGCCGACTTTTTACCCCTAGCAATTCAGTTAACAAAGCTCTTCAAAGATGTCCATCTCCTTCAAATTAAGCTGAGTGTTTCCATTGACAAAAGAGTCCACTAGAAGTAAGTTAAAGCTTGCAAGATCTATACAAAGATTGGCAATGCTTTTTTTTTCGCAACATGCTTCAACAAAGTCAGAAGCTGCAACAAGAGCTTCTATCAAAAGAAAATTACAGTATGCTTTACATCTGGCCCTGTGAATTAGTACAGTCACAATTAAGAAAAGAACTCATACAGTCAAATGCAATCAGAATGCATGTCTTGATAGATAATATAATATTCACAGGCATAAACAGACAAACACATTACATTTATGAATAGTATATCTCAACAACCATTGCCAGAGATTACCTCCACTATTACGATTACCAAACTGCAAACAAGGACTTCGGTGATGCATGCAGTCAACTTTGCTTTGTCCAGACGGAGGTACATCATCACTTAGGGAGCCAAATGTAATACTAGACGTTTCATCAGAAGATATGCCAACAGTCTGGAGGTTTCTCGCTATGTTTTCTGTAGCATCAGAAAAAGCTCCAACCCCGGCTGACAGTGAAATGGAAGATCTTCTTCTTCCTGAGGCAATGCAATAGTTGTCTCATAATTGATGATTGTACTTCACATGCAAAAAATTCATTAGCATGAGCCAAAAAATATCCAAAAGTGTCCCACCTGAAGCTGACAGATATAGTAAAAGAACTCCATCTGGTGGAAGCTCTTCACAAATAGTGGCAAGTACCTGTCCAAGAAGAGCACAATCGCAATATAAACCACGACCTTCAAATAGCAGAGTAACTAAAATCACAATCCCTGAAAACTTCTGTAAAAGGAAAAACTCCTCTACATTGTTTGTGCAACATGATGGCATGAAGAATGAATAATCTGTAACATTTTAATCAAACCATTGAATATTTTGACTTTAGGCTGGCTTGACTCGGGACACCAGCATCTATCATAGATGTTTTGTTCTGCCATCACATTTTGAGGCCACCTCACATGTTCCATACGTAGCATACCAATAAGATTTCTTGCATATTAATACTTTTTATTCATTTTTCTTTCTTGGGCTGTGTGCATGCGTGGGGGGATTTATGCTCCGTAATATACTTACTGCCACAAAATGGGTCACTGATGGTCGATATAAAACAGCTTTTCGCGGGTTTGGAGGCAAAGTATGATCAACAATATCCTGAGAGCAGCTAGTGCGAGTATGACCAGAAGCACCAAGTTTAGTTCCAGGTGACTGGTAAAATGAGCCACTTGGTTCCCACTCCAAACACTGAAGCATCCTGAAAGTGTCAAGAGTGAGCTCTGAAAACTTCACCTGATTAAAAAAGCAGGAAAGATAACTATAAGGGTACAAAGATCTTCCCAGAAACAAGTAGGAAAGGGGTCTAACAACTGATGGGTTACCTCATTATGGTGATAGCTGCTCAGTATTGCATCTCGTAATCTCAGATGTCTATTTGTGATAGACGCAGCAACACGTGGCAGAGAATCCGTGTGGGGATCCAAAGCAAGACTATATCTCAAAGGCCTGGTATTCATAAAAGCCGTGTCAGCTTTCAAAAACCTATTAATTTCCTGAACCACCAGCTTCCATTCTTTAAAATCAGTGTCCTGAAAATAAGATCATGCACATGTCAAGCCCAATCTATATAAAATAAAGAATCGCGATAACTTTGCATTGCCAAGAATTTATTTTTGAACTTCTCATAAGATAATGTAAATAAATGGCCTCATAGTGTAAATAAATCACCAATATGTCTGTGATAGCGTCAAGAAAGCTTATTTGGGACAAGATAAATTTCCTATAATTAGTTTCAGGTGCTTTACTAAACTAAAACACTGTAAGTTCTAAATGTTTTGGCTTTTTGCCTTCAGTCAAAAGCTCCTCCTCTGCCCACATAGCTGCGGTTCATAAGAACCATAGACTGCACATCCCATCGATAATATAATAATAGCTATATTTTAAAACTAAAGACACGTGGCAAGAAGATAAGAATACCCTATATATGTGCAGGATCATAGCATTGATAGTCTTTCTTCCTAAATCGATCAGATATCCACTGTTTTTAAGGCATTCTATTTGGCGCAGTTTCCCCTCAATTCTACTTCTGGTTTCTGACATTCGATCCCACTTGTTCGGTCATTCATAATCCACACGAAACCCAACCTCTACTACTTAGAAACAGGAAGTTGCTCCCACTCCCCCCACTTCTTTTTCTTTTGTATTTTTTAGCTGTGTCAAAAATAACTGTGTAAAATGATAAAAGCATCTTGATTCTGAAAAGACGACTTAAAATTTACGACCCACTTTGCAACAATTCATCATTTTGTCAAATAGACAAACGCCTATGATTCCCAGTGCTACAATTACAGAACATCATGGTTTATACCACAAACCCAAAATTCAATGTTAGATATGAAAAACCAAAAGCAAGCCAAAGCCCCATAAAAACTTTAGATTGTCCAACTTCTTCACATTTTTTAGGCTTTGAAATGCTAACATGCATCTAGTTGCTGTTCAGCACAGTACATTCTAGTCAACTTTTGTTTTTGAAAGGGAAAACTGCTCCTTTTCCAGTTGAAGTATAGGTAAGTTTGGTTCAGTGAGACCATCTTCATGTCCTACTATTATTCAAGATGACAAACCTATAGGTCCAACGCATACATAGAACTCATTAAAGAGAAACCTAGATGTGTAGTCAATGACAACATCCTGGATATAGGTTTCAGCAAAACTCCAAAGAAAAATCATAGACATAAGTGCCACAAACTAAAAAAAAACTGTCACGTAGACAACTCACAGTAGGGAAGAATAAGAACCTGAAATGTTCTCTTGCATTCATCAACCAACAATTTTAGTTGACCAACCAACTGATTCACCATTTCTCTCTTGTTAAAGACTAAACAGACCATCAAAAACCGGGCAAGAAACCTCAGCTGCTTGTTGGCCAAATTGAGATCCTGAAACAATCCCTCCTTAAAATATTCCCGGTTCAAAATTGCCTCATAGAATATGTAGGACTCCGACAAATAACTCGCTTCGCTCGTGCGCATGTACTGCCCAAAATATAGCTGGGCAATCCGGGACGCGATCTCGCCAATCTCCCATCTCTTGAGCCCAGCTTCCACCAACTTCTGCCTATTCTCTTGCTGATACTTCCACAGTTCAGTGTACACTTTAAACACCTTGTAGAAGTAGGTGTCATACCTATTAACAGAGCATGACCATAAATAATCAATCTTAACAGGAAAAACACATGAACAAGAAGTGACGAATTCTTACCATGTCTGGAAAAGTTACCAAAATGAACGTAAAATGATTAAATCAGCCCACTTCCATTTTCTGAAGTATCTCAAACATATGACAGGAAAAGATCTGGCTTGGTTAATAAACAGAGAAAAGGCTTCATATGGGCCAATGTTTAGAGTTACCAGAGCTAAAACTAACTGAATTGGATGCTACAATTTGCTGAGACAGACGAACAGATCACCACAGTTCGACCAATACCATCTCCTAATTCATGAATCAAACAAATTCGGTGCTACAAATACTAAGGGATAACAATAAATCACTAGAACTCTACTAATACCCATCTCCTAATCTACTGAATCAATACATCCGGCAAACGTGGAAGATGAACACGCACAGACCATCACCCCGCACCCACTAAGCCACACGCCCTCGCGCTCACACACAGATTCTCATAGAGATAGAGAGAGAGAGAGAGAGAGAGCGAACCTCTGGCGCTCGTAGAAGGGCAAGTCCCTGATCTTAGAGAACTTCTTGTCGGCTTTATCGACCAGTGACCAATACACCTCGCTCACCGGTATGATGGCATTGCCGCCGCCGCCGCCGCTGTTGCCATGAGCGTGCTGCTGATGCTGATGCTGCGACATCGTAATCGGCGACGGGCGGCTTTCACGAACCGTCCGCGATCATGGCGTGAACCGAGGATCCGGCTTGCGGTGTCGCCGCGGCGGTAATTCGGATTGATCCAGGGAGAACCGATCGCCGGAAGTTGGCGGCGTCGGAGAGCGGCGGCCGGAGAGGAGCGCCGGGGCCGGAGGAGCGGGCGCCGCGCGGCTGTCGGCGGCGGCGGCGGCGGCGGCGGCGATGGCCTCCTCCTGATGCGACGGTGGTGGAGCCGGGGAGTAGGAGAGAAGTCGTCTCTCTCTCTATGAGCTAGAGAAGTTCTTCTTTGCGAAATTACCAAAATGGTCCCTCAAATCGCTGTCCCTTTATCTTTGTGCCGGGGCCGGAGGACTTTATAGGAAATTACCAAATTGACCTCCGGCTATTGTCACTAAAATCAATTTTGATCCTACACCTTTAGCCCCTCCTAATCATATGCCTAAACAAGCTCATCGACCATGAGAGCAATGACAATACGCTTGGCTTGCGAAGCTCATCGATGGAATGTCTCGATAGATCGTGAGTTTGCAATGGACGACGGGGTTTGGATGGAGATTCACATGGCCGCCTATCGATCGACTTGAAATATGTTAGGGAGTCGAAGTCTAAGTTGAGAGGGATCCATTCGTCGACCGAGGGGCGATTGTAGCTAAAGGATCGTGAGCGGTTCTGAGTCCCTGGAGTAGCGCGCAAGTTAAGAGGGAGTTGGAGATTGTTGCAGAGGAAGATCGGGATGTACAAACGAAATCATCGCATTAAGGATAAGAAAAGGAAATCGAGGTTCACAGACATGTCCACACACGGGCGATCTCGTGAAGATTTTTCCACGCTTCAAACAAGAATCATTCGACATCGATCAAGGAGTCCATCGGATTTTGAAAAAGATGATTGGGATTGGATCTTTATTTAGGTTTCGATTTCAAATTCAAATGAAATCCGGACTGACGTGACTTGAAAGTGAATGTTTGATGGGAAGGAACATCCCTTCAACCTTCTCAACCCAAAAAGAAAAAGGAAAGGAAAAAAAGTTCCTTCAACCTATGTTTGGTAAGCTCCATACGGATTACAAAAAAGCTATCCAAATTCATCTCATTAACAGAAATTTAACTCATGGTAAATTTCTTAGAGCGAGATAGGAGGTGTGCCGGTCGCGTTGGTACCATTAGTAGTGGCGGTCGCCTTGACACAACCTCGAATTGGATCGTGCTGATCATCTGGTATGGTTACGATCATGTTGTTGCGACTGCAAATCTGATTGTAGTGGTGGTCACATTGTTGTGAATCTAAATGGAAAAATATAAGGTCCTTCATGAACTTCAAGTAGTCATTTACGAGCAATAAAAAGGTTCTTTCATATCCTCACGTACTGTGAAAAAACCATTTTGTTTCAAGACCAAATTTACAACAAAAGAGGGAGGAGGAGAAGTAATTGTCAAATATCTCAAGCTGCGCAACAATGTATGCGAGCAAATTTCGCGAATTCTCGAAGTAGCGTGAATTCATACGTGCGTGAGATCATCAAACCCTGGAAAGCATATTCGAGGGGTAATAATCTTAGGAGCTTGCATCATTTACTACGGGTTAGTTAACGATCTCTCTCAATTGCACGCGTGATTTGTGTTATTATATGAGTTTGTGTTCCATCCATGACCACAAAACGTTAAACGGTTTGGTGTATGTACCAAAAGAGTACCAAAGAGCACGCATTAGATTATTGCACTTATTCTTGTGAGGTCAACCCATGGCCACCGACCTTACCACCTACATTTTATAACGCATGATTGCGCTCCATGCGCGAATATATAAAGGGAAAATACTATCAAAAACCTCAAATTATATCAATTGTGACAAATTTACCCTGAACCTTTTTTTGTGACACGAAAAACCTCAAACTATGCGACTTATGACACATTTGCCCCACGATACTTTGGCTCATGGGCATTTTCGTCTTTTTCCTTTTTTTGTTTTTTTTCCTTTTTTTCTTTTCTTTTCTTTTCCGGCGAGGGCAGCCCTCGCCTGAGTCGGGCGAGTCGCCCTCGCCAAATCCGGCATCGGGCGACTTCGCCCGACTCAGGCAAGGGCTGTCCTCGCCCGACGCCAGATCTGGCGAGGGCGACCCTCGCCGGCATTGGGCGAGGCTGCCCTTGCCGGATAAGAAAAGAAAAGAAAAAACAGAAAAAGGAAAAAGACGAAAATGCCCATGGGTCAAAGTATTGCGGGGTAACTGTGTCACAAGTGGCATAGTTTGGGGTTTTTCGTGTCACAAAAAAAAGTTCAGGGTAAATTAGTCATAAGTGACATAGTTTGAGATTTTTCGTGTCACAAAAAAGTTCAAGGTAAATTTGTCATAAGTGGCATAGTTTGGGATTTTTGGTGGTATTTTCTTATATATAAAACCACACAACTTGAGCAAAGCATGCAAATCACAAATCCAGGCAAGCAAAAGAAGAGAGAGATTTGTATTAGAGAGAGAATAACTTGTATCGATCGTCACCCTCTTCGCTCCGTTACCACCTCGTCTTCTCGGAGAAACGCGCGATGTGAAATATTTGAACGTGTGTGTTGGCATTGATCATCTGACCGTTGCGTGGCTCGCTCACTAAATTTACGGGTGGGAGAACCCTGAGCGCAATGGCGTTTTTCATCCCGGTTCTTTCGGGCTTCCTCTCGTCGGTGAGACCCTTCGGTTGACGGCTCCAAGTTACTCTCGGGACCTCATTCCATTCCTCAAGAAGTAGCACACAAAGGCACTCATACCACCTCATTTCCAATTTCACAATCAAAATGCTCGAATCAACAGGAAGAATTACATTAGAATTTCGTGTAGAGCTTTATGATCAAATTGGCAAAATTAAAAAGTTTAGAACTGAATTGACATATGCACGGCAGATTCAGTTATCAAGCATCCTTTTTCTATATCTCTATGACACGTGATGAGATTTCAAGAACTTATTCATTCCGAGGTTCGAGAACATCTTGGTGTATGCAAAGGAGAAGAAAGAATACATGCCCGAATACTTTTGTTCCACAGCATGTCTGGCATTAGAATCGTTTGACTAGAGAGGCTCCGCGCATTGCCGCGGCATAAATCGTCATAGTATGCTGGTCGCTAGATTTGACATTTCATCTTTTTCTATCAAAAAGCGATTTAATATAGTGCATACCCCATTACTACGAGGATTTCTCTAAAGAGATTGAAAATGACCAATGGGATGATTAGAATAGACATGAGAAATAAAGCACAAGGACGAATCGCGAATGAAAATGTAGCATGGCTAGCGTGAAGCGAACATGTCATTTTCCGATTGCTACCTGTCGAAACGAGATGAGAGATATCGAAGAACGCTTCCCGATGTCTAATCATCCGAGTTGGAACCCACATTGCACATTCATACCTCCTAACTTCATTTTTCTCGATCGATTTTAGTGGTTCCCGTTGACACCTGAATATTTTCGCCGACAAATTCACTATGGAATACGCATTTTTTTGTAGCTAAAAAATATTTAAAAAATAATAAAAATAATAATAAATTAAAAAAAAGAGGATGGGGTAGAGTATCCAATTCGGTCATTGTTGCAAACACCCAATGTGACCCATTAAATTTAAAACCATGCCCAACTCGCCCCAGCCCGGTCCGTCAGCATCGGATCTAGTTTTGGGCCAGCCCATTAGACAGTCCAGGCCCAAAGGGTCCACCTTAATTTGGCCCATAGCCCGGCCCATAACGGATCAGACCTCTCTCTCTCTCTCTCTCTCTAAAAAAAATTCGCTCGCCTCATGCGCTCATGTCAGCTCGCTGTTTGCCGTCTGGCAACGCCATCTCATTTTCCAAGTGACAGCACGTCAGCTCACTACTTGCCGTCAGTGACCTCAAAGAGTAGCGATTGTCGATTTCAATCGACGGATCCAGTTATTTGTTCAAAATAGATCTCGACGGAGCTTAATCTATCCAGATTCGATAACGCTTTTTATAACCGCGTCACGACATATATATTATAGAATAAATTTCGAAGAAGCCAATATCCAATCATAGATTGACACATCGTGAGCTCGGAAGAGCCCTAACCAACTTCTTTGAAGGATTTTTAACGTCGTCTCGCAACTTTGCTTGATAACAAAGAGCTTAGTAGAGGCTCTATGAAGCCAGGTCATTTTTGACGGGTCGAGATCCGGTCTAGAGGGATAGGGTTTTGTGTAGAAAGGGGTAAAATCGGAATTACGATCGTTGAGTGAGGGTGAGATGGGTAATAAAGAAATTCAAGAACTCGCCCTCTCGGCAATGCCGAGAATGTTGAGATTGCAAAAGGCGGGTCCATCCTTGCCTCGGAGAAATGGGCTTTCAATATCATCATAATAATTCCTGAATTAATTCACTCGAGACACCATAAAAATAAATAAATAAAATTACCAATATCGAGCAAAAGTTCACAGTCACTGTAATCAGGTAATTAGCAATTTTGTGCCTTGAAGTTCACAATCACTATGACTTCCGATGTAAATCGTGGCAGCCCCAAGAAACTATATAAATTGTACAATCTTTTTTAGGATATTACACATATCTTGCCTAACAAGATTAATTATTCTGTAGTTTTGAATGTTCCAAATTTTCAACTATCATCCAAGCACAAAAATCAAGTCGGGTTAAACTGGATTGACCCGACCCGGTTTGACAATATTTCAACAATACTCAACGTACTAAAATTCGCATGGTAAATTAGTTTACTAAGTGACGTGACAATCTATAAATAGTTATTTAAGTTATTAGAACCATTTAAGCATCAAATGATCTGTTATATTACCTAGCGGGCAAATTTAGTGGACAAGTCTTGATATGTCTTGCATCATTCGATTTATTTAGTTTCACCCATTCAACGTAGGAAATTACATAAATTAACAAAAATCTTGGCTAATAACACCGAATATTATGTAAGTTATTCCAAATCTCCGACTACGATTCAAACACAAAAATTTCTTCGCATTGGGTCCGGGTCAGGTTCGGGTTATTTTTGACGGGTCTACCTCCATGTGGATTCTATAAGGTGATTTCTCTATGCTAGATTGTAATGCTAGTTAATCTATTGCATGGTGTGGAGTGAGGTCACTACTTTTACTTAAGGTCTAAGATAGGATTAGGAAATGATCCAAAATAAAATTTGATAGTGATCCTTGAGTGCTGAAGTTGATAAGTTTTGATGAGTTTGGAAGCATACCAAAGGATGATTTTCAAAACTGAAGTGAATTAGAAATGGATCCAGGCATAATCAAAATTTGGTACCCATTAGGTGGAACGGACTGATCACTTTCGAGCAATTTCACCCGAGCAAGATCAACCTACCATTCCGGGTGCTTTAATTATGCATGGATTAGCCGGAAAGCAGGTTGAGGTTCGTAAAGCTTATGCCATAATTAGATTGTTATCATCGGAACTTGTCTATTATATTCGTCCCGCGGTCATATTTACATAAGAGGATCACGTCGGTTTGTTACAACCGTCCTTTTCGTCGTTAGGCTTAAAATAATCATGGATTGTCCTTTTTTGGCAATGTCGTATTACGTTGGGAGTGTGGTCGCCCCTATCAACTAACTAATTTGTCACTAATTTTTCAAAGTTTGAAAGTTTATCCCTAAGTAACAAAATTAGCATGAAGAAGTCGTCTTTCCAATTGGAAACATGCACTATCTAGAAGAAGTAAGAGCCATAAGCATGGCAACAAAATCGTGCGTGAAAAGAGGAAAAAAGCCATGAAAAACGTCACCTCACTTGGAGGCGACGAGAGTAAAGACTTGGAAATGGGTTGACTTTATAAGAGACATGTCTTTCCTTACCAAACTTACTTGTGTACGGGAATAATGGCGCACATACTTCATGAACTTTGGTCAAATATGCAATATAGTCCTTGAATTTTTAATTTATTTAATATAGTTTTTGAATTTTAGCTTAATATTCAATGTGATCCATGAACTTTTAATTTGTTCAATATAGACTTTTGATACGTGTTCAATTTAGTCCCTGAACTATGTGAAAATGTTCAATGTAGTCCCTAAACTTGAATTAATGGAACGACTACATTGAATGTTTTTATATAGCTCATGAACTAAATTGAACACGTACCGTAAGTTTAAAGATCAGATTGAACAAATTAAAAGTTCATGAATCACATTGCACATTGGGTTAAAGTTCAGGAATCACGTTGAACAAATTAAAAGTTCAGGGATCAAATTGCACGTTGGGCCAAAATTTATGGACTATTTGTGTCATTTTCCCTGATCTATAGATTTGAAGTCTAGGCTTCCATAACTATAATTCACATGCTAGTACAATTTTCCACTTATTTTTTTTCATGAATTTTTTTTTGGTCCTTTTTAAGTCAAAGGTACGGTTTAGCTGTAAAATTCGAGCGCACGTCGGCGAAAATAATTTATTCCTAGATAATTAGAGGACGCAGGGACTCAAAGTGCGAAACTACGGAAAATTCGAAAACTTGCGTTGCAAAAGAAAGCAAAGAAATTCCACGCCGAACATCATAAGCTCGATCCAATATTAACTAAGAATTTCGGACCGAGCTGGAGAGGTAAGAACCGCTCTGGCCCCCTCTTTTGAGTATTGTCATCGATCGTGATGGCTTTTAAAGAGCTTTGTGCTCTAGTAGCTTTTCGAACGAGCGGTGAGAACTGTGCGATCCGATTGCATCAACTGGCCCGCCCGCCCTGAGAAAATATCGAAACGCCTATTTCTTCTATGTAGGGCCGGCCCTAGGAGAAGAATCCCACTTCCTAACACCTTCCTTCCTCACCATAATAAATATATATATCTCTTCAATTAAACTAGCCAAAAGTCTTCGTTTTAGCTCATATATTTATCTTAAGAAAGAGTCAATTGAAATCTAGAGAATAGTAAGGTCAACGCAGGACCCAATAAATTAATTGCACGGAATCGATTTTTTATAACATGAAATTGAAAATAGAGATTTATCCCTTTTGACTCGACGGACTAAATTTCCTCCACGGCAGATGGGTCAATACCGAATCACGATGCACCGCGACATTTGCTCGCCGTATTCCTCCCGTTTCGATCAATAAGACGGTGGAAGTGCCTATCTAGTTAGAGGTGAGCGATTTCAAGGCCGATCGAAGTTCTCATGACCTAATCATTAGAACCGGTTCCCAAAATTTTTTAATCTAGAACCTGCCCTGTCGAAGATTCCGGGAGTTAGTTCCAAGGTCTATCTAGATTTCACCTGTATTCTTAATTGAACGATTACACTTAATCATCACATCTAATGATCACAATTTGCCTCTACAATTCATTGACCACAATCCATATTAAGACACGCGAAGGATACAAAATATTAACAAAGTAAAAGCCGCCCCCCCTCCCCCGATCATGGATTTGGTTAGAAATGGAAATTCGAACGAGTGGTTCCATATCACACGCTCATCATCGGACGTCATGGAATATTAAAGGCTCGGAACGAGATGAAACCTAGCCGTCGGAACCGATTCCCTAATCTTTTGAAACCCGAAACCCACCATGAATATCCCGGTCCCGTCCTCCCGTTCCCTCCGCCCCCGGTTCGAACCCCTGGAACCATGCCCCGCCCCCTAGGGCGGGGTGTGGGGAAGTGAACCGAAGCTTCGCCGCGAGCGACGCGTCGTTTTCGTTCGAATCTCCGCCTTTCAAGTCGAATGTGAAAATTTTTTAACGGACCCGCCCCGCTCTCCACACACGCCCCGTCCTTTGACTATCGCCCTCTCCTTCTTCGTCTTCGTCTTCGTCTTCGTCGTCTTCGTCCTCCGTATGAAACCTCCAGCGACCGCAGCAGCAGCAGCAGCAGCAGCAGCAGGACGCCACCGCCGCGGAAAGTCTCGCTTCCACACCACCACGACGCGGAGGCCGCGTCCCCATCGCGTTCTCTCTCCTCCGCCGTTTCCGCCGCCGCCCCCCTCTCCCTCTCCCTCTCCCTCGCTCTCGATCAATCAATCCATCAATCGATCAATCGATCCTTCAATCGATCGAGGATCCGGCTTCAGCTCCCCGCTTGCGTTCGCGCGCCGGTAATTAATTATTTGCTCGTCCGCTCGATCTGGTTTTGCGGAGCGAGCTCGGGCGGCGGGCGCTCCCCTTTTTCGCGAGTGGCGTGAGGTTTTCCGGCGCCAGCGCTGCTGATTCGTGGCGGCGTGCCGTTGTGGAAGCCCGACGGTTAGTCGCCGGAGCATTGCGCCGAGCCGGAGCGCGTTGAGCTCAGTCGCCTTGTTGCTGAATTGCTTCGCATGTGTTCTCGTGTTTTGTACTGCGCGTGAACTTTCGGAGCAGTGGCGGACATTCTCCTCTTCCTGCTTGAGTTGCAGGGGGTGGTTCTTGATTAATTTCGCGCGGGCGGGGGCTTTGGCGATGCGTGCGGTTGTCGCGTGATTTGTCTCGAACTGGAAAGTTCTGTTTTTTTGTTTTTTTTTTTGATGTAATCCATGACTTGACCAGCCGTGTTTTTTTTTCTTTTTGGAGGAACTGGAGTGTTGGTTTACATGTTTGATGTTAAGACTGCTGGTCTACATAGTCTTGGATTTTCGACGGAGGTCGAGTTATGTTTATCGACCTTGTCGTTCACAGTGAAAACTTGTGTGTTGTTACTTTCGCGGGCGATGACTGTAATTTGAATAATTAGACTGCGTTTTCGATGCCCTTCGTTTCTCTAAATTGGATTTCTTTTTTTGTTTTCGTACTTGTTCTTCGTGTAGCCGACATCAATTAGTGGGGAAATGCCTCTGTTTGGTGTTGCAAACTTGCTTAATCACGTGCTTACTTTTTTATAGCTGCCTCCTTATATTCTTGCATTTTGTTTCGTGAGTAATGATTATTGGTGTTACGGTTCAATTATAGGTCGGTTTATGACTGTAGAAGGTGACCACTCGAGTATGAAAATGACCGATTCTTGATATTATGCCTGTGTGGTTTGAGTGAAACACGGACTGCATAAGAAGATTGCTTATCTGTTAATTTGTTCAACAACTGTAAATAGATACGCACTATATCTGGTCACCATCTCTATTTTCTACAGTAAGATTTATGTTTTGACTTTGATGCTAATTGTAGGCCTTCTTTTTTCTCGTAGATAGCTTCTTACAGCATTCTGGAGCTCACAGCTATCAAAAGAAAGTCGATCAAATCCTCAGAAGCAACATAGGGGTGAAGATTGAAATGCACTAAGATGCAAATTAGGATTGTTAACAATGAAAGTTTTTAGCTGTCTTGCTGGCATAATTTATGTTGAAGAGGATAAAGAATCGGCAGTGTGATGTCTGCCAGTAGAAGCTCAAGAAATGGGCTTAGTGGCAACGGTCTTGGCAGCCAACAATCTGGTGCTTTAAACAGGTTATTATTCTTAGTCAGAAGTAGTGTTTTCTGGGACCTTATTGCATAATGATTTTCTTTTCAGATGCATAAAATCATACTTAGCCTTTCTTTCCTGTTCTGCTGTAACTTCAGTTAACAATACCATGAGATTCACAATTAACTGTCTACTAATTTGAATTATGCAATTTTCTTTTCCTTTACTTTTCCATAGAGGTGGCCTCGAAAGACATTCCCACGAAAGGATTCCCAATGGAGATGGCAAGAGTGATCATTCACACGACCCAGAGACTATGGTACCACTGTTTTGTGACCATTTCTTTTCCTGAACTTTTGCATCAAGTATTGTAGTTTCAGTTAACCTCGCCCTTTTAATCTTTGTTTTCAAAGTAGGAACTTTATGCCCGAGCTAGGGCACAAGAAAAGGAGATCCAGACTCTTCGCGAACAAGTGGCTGCAGCTTGCGTGAATGTATACTCAATATTTCTGTCAGAAGCCTATGTAGATCATTACTCTAGCAGCGTTCTCTAGTATCTCTAACTTGCCACGATGTGGTCCTTATGGTATCAGGAAATGAAGCTCTTGAGTGAAAAATATGCATTAGAGAAGAAATTTGCGGACTTAAGACTGGTCTGTCTTTCTCGTCTTGCATGATATACATCAGAATAGAGCTCGGCAAGTAATATTATGAGGTTCTTTCTGAGTGCTGACATGATTCTGTTTGGTTTTATAGGCAATCGATGAAAAGCAAAATGAAGCCACTGCCTATGCCTCAAACGAACTGGCTCGTAGAAAAGGTGATCTGGAACAAAATCTAAAATTGGCTCATGATCTGAAGGTAAACTGCTGTTCCTTATCCTCAGAAAGCTCCTAACTGCCCTGGTTATTACTGTTGCTTTTCCTTTTCCTCTAAAATGTGGTCAGAACTCGTTTGTATATGAGTCTGTCAAGATTTTTGCAGTGGTTTGGGTCCTTAATCGATATCTTTAAAATTCTGACTCGCAAGCTGAATTGAATTTATGACATTACTAGCTAAATAGGGTAACTGGAAAATTGGGATGAAAGTTTAGTCAGCTTTTTTTTTTTTGGTTGAAAAGTTTATTTTAACTTATATGCTATGAGTTTTAATAATTTTGGTGGAGCCAAGGCTGGTAGCTTGGTTATGCATTGATACAGAAGAATAGTGCTATCATTGCCTGTGATGTTCTAAGGACCATCTTGTTTGTCAGTTTGTCAAAATGAGCCTAAAACCTTGTCAACCTTGCATTACTTTCATTAAGGTGGGAAGAAATGAATGAGCTGCCCCTATCACTTTCTAGACGTTCATAAGCTTCTTAGGACCTCTAAGCTTAAACTGTCTTCACTCTTCCGCAAGCGGTGTTGCCGTTTTATATTCTTAGGACAGTCTGCATTTGGAAACTAGCTCTCTAACCAGCAAGCTCAATTAGTGAAAGCTTCATGAGGTACCGTTAAAAAGGTTGTTTCTGAGGTATGTATCATAGACTTGCCTACTTATTAAAAGTCAGACTAATTGTCCTTAATAATTCAGTCCATCATCCATGTGATAGCTATTAAGAAACACAGCTGAACGTAGAATCTATGAGCGAGGATGCCCCACCGTTACACGGTTGGGAGTGATTCGTGGGGATGAAGATTTGATTGGCTCTAGTAGAAGAGAGGACCAAAATAGAATGAAACCTTTGGTCTAGTTAATGTTCCCGTCAGAGAACAGCCAACTTATTCATACGAGCCAAACAGGGACAATTGAGAGAATCTTGCTTTGGATTGGTTATCAAGCTGGTGTTGCATTCTATAATCTTATATTTTCTTGTATGTTTTAGTCTTAATGGCATAGTTGACATTTATCTGATTGCTTAAGCGGCAGAAAGTCTGTGATTCAGAAACTCTACCTATAGTATTGACTGGTTGGCCACCCCTGAGTTTGGATAGTGGTTTCCTGGTCTTTAGATGTGTATGGAATGGGTAAATGTACTAAGCTTGGTACTTGATGGATTTCCCATCTGACTGGATGGCTACATTACAAAAAGCTTGGTGATGATGTAATAAATAGAGCAATTTTAAAGGTAGTTGTGGTTGATGAAAAATATTATAATGTTGGTCAAGTGAGAAGGATATCAGTTAAATCTTGTAGTTCCGCATTTTTGTTCTTTCTTAACTTCAACACTTCCTGTGTACTTGGTTTCATAGTTCTTCTTTTATTTATATATTATTCTTCTACCAGATAAGTCTATTCAGCATTCGTTTTACTGGAATATCATCTATGTGATTTGCTTGCATTTTCTACCATGTCTTGATTGTTATCATAGTGTTGCTCTCTTTGCTATTAGCTTTCGGTGAAGTGTCATATTTTTCGCTGGGGTGCTGCTTTTAACCTTCTTTTTCAATCTCTTTAGATATATGTGTTTAATAGAATGCTTTTGCTGTATAAGTTGCAAGTTTGATTTTCCTCCAGGAGACAGAGGATGAAAGATACATGTTTGTGTCTTCCTTGCTTGGCTTGTTGTCTCCATATGACATATGGCCACCAGTCTTGAATGCCACTGTTATATCCACATACATTAAGGTAGAAATATTTTTCTCTTTGATATGCTTGTGAACATTTAAAATTGCCATCTAGTACAATTGGAAACCAAAATTTAAAATTACTCAGCAAATGTTGCATTAATGCACGTATGGTATTAATTTTGCAATGGAAGGCTGTGTCCACCGTGGACTGTAATCTGGTTAGAGAATCGCGACACTGTAAAGTTTTACATGGCTCCATGTGATAATTTCTTTTAAATCTGCATGAATCAATATTGGATTATTTGAGTGAAATTTTCTCATCTATTAGTTATATAACCTATCTTTTGCATCTCTTCATACTGTATTTCTTCATTTCCTTCTTTTTTAATTGTCCGCAGCGTTTGCATGATCAATTAAATTGGAAGATTAGAACTTCAGAGGTAATCCTGTAAACATTGCATTATTTTGTTACATTACCATCCTTCTGTTCCTCTCTCTTCTGACATAGCATTCTAGTTGTATCTGTGTGCTCCTTAACTCCGATTATGTACTTCCGTTTTTAATGTTAACTGTGCTTAAAATGGTTGGACTGGTGATAGTTATGGTGTAAACAATATCACAGTAAATAGCAGTTAATCTTGTTTATCAAACTTTTTGGTGTTCCATGATGCAGTTGGGTTGTGTATCACATACGGATTTGATTAGCACTGTTTGCTTAGTTAACCTGGCTTCATTCATATGCAAAGAAGATTAATTTGCTTGGTGATTCCACCTAGCTTGAGTTTTGATATCCATCTCTGCAAAATCCTAATGAAGTTTCATTCTCCCCTTTAAGTGAAATGTGTTGCTTCCTAAGATGGAGGGTCCTCTTCCTCTTGCAAAATGTTGCAATTAAAACTTAAAACTTCTAGAAAATGCTAGAATTTAAATTTAAATCAAACTTCAAATTAAGATTAAAGCTTTTAAAAGATTGTTAAAGTTTGCTAGTAATGTAGTAGTGTGATGGTGGCTTTTTCTTGAATTGCTTGTGAGCATTATAAGCATACAATGATGAGCACATATAATATGTATTGTGGTCAAATGGTAAAGAAAAATTAAATTTAAAGAGTCATTGAAGCTTTTGAATCGTGTCATACTCTAAAGGGGTTCTGTCTCGTGAAGGGCTTAGTGAGCATGAGTACATGATCGTTGACTCACGTGATTTATAAATTAATTCTTCTACAATTACTATAGAATCGCGTAACATTGAATTGGTTCTCTCTTGAAGCCTTAGCAAGCATAAGTGCGTGATCATTAGCTCAATATTTTATGATCTGGTTAGATTGTAGATCCTTCCCATGTTAGATAAAAGCTAATCACTAAGTACATGGAATGAAACTGATTTGAACGAATGAGCCATCTCTTAAACTGAAAATTGAACTAATTTTCTCTGGATTAGCATTGCAAATAAAGCATTGCTGGCAATGTACTTATGTATTCAGTCAAACTAATTGGAGGGATCTAAGGGCCTCCTTATTCAAATTAGGGAATTAGCTATCATTGTAGACGATGATTTTTACCCTCAAACTGTAGCAACATTATGTTCCTTGGCATCAAATGAGCATTTTACTACCTCAGATGTTTCAAAATTGCTTATGGACATGTTCTATAACTGCATAAGTATCTGGTAACTTCTTTCTCTTCTGAGTACTTCCTCCTTGTAAATATGAGTTATCAGTATTACAGTCTATTTAGTTTTATGCTCACAAGTAATATAGAGTTGCCTTTTTTATGCACTTATCGTAGTAGATTTGTGCTAGAGCTTCGAGAAATGTATTGGATTTCATAATCTGTCTTGTTGATAGTTTGTGTATGTGCTATTGGACCTGAGAAAATTTCTGAAGACATGTACTTAGCTTCCTTTGCACTGATTTGAAAATCTCAAACAGGATAAAATTAGAGAAGCAGGAAATGCAGGAGGAATCAATATCGGGAATGCTTCAGATGTTAAAGACAATTATTGGGCTGGCATGCCGACAAGACAAGTTCCCCAAAGATCGATGGTAACTTCGGCATGTGTTCTACTTGTCGAGTACAAACTGTAATCTTATGTCTGCTATTTATATTCCTGCTCTTCTGTGCACGATCATCAGGGTGTTTCCGATCGAGACACATATAAAGATGGAGATGCTATGGAGCTAACGAACAATTTGTCAAAGTTTACGCATTACAATCAACCTACCTCTATGCAGAACTTAGCATTTGATCATGCAATGAGCCAGCAACCGGGTACTGATAATGCAGGAGAGTTCGCATTTGATACACACAGGTTGGCATTTTTCACATTTTATATCCTGTTGGCATTTTAAGAAGTCGGTGCAGAGGTGTCAGTTTTTATTGGGAATTAGAGATATTGATGTTGGACATTGCGCTTGGCCTATTATGGGAATATAATGGTTTTGTGCTACAAGGTATATGGACCATAGGAGAACTGTGACATTTTGAGGAGCTCAGAGTTTCATTTTGACCATTTATTGAGTTTTCCTATGAAAACCAATTCATAATCTTCATAGGTTGATTCTTTTCGTCTTTTTATTATTGTTGTATAGGCCGTTGATGTTCAAGTTTGTTCTTTCATCTTCTGATGGTTGTAAAAGCACCCTCAACTATTTTTGCTAGGGTGTTAGTTTATGTAGCAGATTGCATTGTGTATAATTATTTCCTATATCTGGTTCTTATGCCTTATAACTTTTATTCCTTACATATCCTTTTAAACGTCACCAAGAATTTTCTGCTACGGCTCCTGCCAAACTTCACTCGTTTTAAGTTTGTGGCTGTAAAATTAGATCAGCATGTATTGTTTGAGACTTGGTGCCTGATGCTAATATAAGTTCCATAAAACAGTGATCTGTTATCTAAACATGTATTGAGTTAGTGTAACGTGTATTATTGACATTGGTGCTTGAGTTGAAATTCAGTTCTGTAGAACATATGCTGTTACAGAAAGAAGTTTAGGCCTGATGTATCTTTAATTAGAGCAAGACTTCTCTTTGAGCAAGATTTCTATTGTTACCAACATATCCTTTAATGTAACATCCAAGGTGTTGGACCAATTCCTTGTAGGTCTTCAGATAAAACAATGATGGAGGCAGTATCCCGAACTCCTAACAATGACGACAATATTGCTTCCAGTGCTTCTCAAGGTGCGTACACTCTCATAGGTACAACTAGTAAAGGAGTTCTGATTTATTCTCATGTGCCTTGGTTCAATTCAGGGGGACCGGGTATAGAAGGTTTTCAGATTGTTGGTGAAGCTACACCAGGGAACCAACTTCTTGGGTGTGGATATCCTGTCCGTGGAACTTCTCTTTGTATGTTTCAGGTGATACTCTAGTATATGTACTTTCTTTCGGCTGCTGTACATGTTCAGAAAGCTAAAGTTTGCCCTGTCAATGTTGGCAAAATCAGTGGGTCCGTCATCTTCCTGATGGTACTACGCACTACATTGAAGGTAACTGGTGTAATAAAGTCTTAATTTGTGGGGAATTTCGTCGCCAATGAACAAAAAATTCGTGTCAATTCTCTATGGAGCTTTTGTGTTAACTTTCTTTGGGCGTACTGACTCAGGCGCGACAAATCCAGAATATGTTGTTACTGCTGATGACGTTGACAAGATTATTGCTGTTGAATGCATACCAATGGATGACCAAGGCCGTCAGGTATTCTCCATCCTTCTCTGAATTTATATTCACACTGACAGGATCTATCATGCACTACAATATAAATCGGCAAGAGTCAATATGAAGCCCATAGGTTTAAGTGTCGTCAAAGATTGTAGAAGATAGTTTTGGCAGTGAAATACTTTTTCTTTGTAGTATTCTTTGTGATTTCATGCATTAGCATGTTTCTACTTGGCCAGCGGCAGAAAGTTGCTAATCATGTCGAGGGACTTTCCATTTCCTGATTCACACACTTTCAAGGAATTGGTCATGTTTTTTTAAGTACGTATAGAGGTCTAGACAAAGATTAGCACTATGTGGGTTGCTAGTTTGAGCATCAATCTTTATCAGCTCAAGGATCATGTAAGAATCTCTGTATGCATAACCCAAACCTCAGCATGGCCAATAAAGAAGAATTTTTAGCTGTGAGACCATTATAAGTGGGTACTGCAGTGGTTGCCTATATAATTGCAATGGAGCAATGTCATATCTTGCTTCTCTACTTGGAGAGACAATTCTGGGTCTATGTAATGGTGGTTTTTAATATGGTACCTTAAGTTGCCATCAGATTACTTGAAGATCTCTCCTTGAGATCTGCTTAAATATCTTTTAGACCGGAAAGATCTCTCTTTGAGACCCCCTTTCTTCATTTTGAAACCTTGTTGGATTTGATAGTCTCTTATCTCTTTCAGACCCAATTCCACACCAAGTATGGCTAATTGTTTAACCAATATCCTCAATGAGAGATGATATTCGGGGTCGAGCTCACAATTAACTTGAAAAAGTCCTGGATCAATGACCTTCTTATAGTCCTTGAGGTAGCTAGAATTGTTAGAGTAAGTGAAAAGAACTTCTCGTAGTCTTTGGGGTTCATCTACCTTTGGTGGGCTTTCTCATGATCGTAAAATAGAGAGAGCCAAAGTCACATCTGCTTTGTCTGCTGTTGTTTTTGCGAACAACCTTCCACTCTTGTCCATCTGCAGTTTTTACATTGCTCTTCTTAGATTCGTTGGGTTGTCGCAGAATAATTTATCGATTGTCATACATGATGTCTAATTGGGGATTTAATTCTGGAAGCAGCCTTAGGTGTCTCTCTTTAAGTTCGCATCCACCGTAAATTAATAAATATCTGGATTTGTGCTACAATAGCACGCAACATACCATGACTTGGTTGCACCTATTGCCTTTTCTCCATATACTGCTTCTGTTTGAAAGCCTTTTCTTACCTTGTATTGTAGAGTTTTTCTTCATATGGACGAGCGATTCATTAGAAGTGTTGCTTAGTCCGTCTATGGTATGTTAGATAGAATATTAATTGTTGTGCTTAACTTGTATGCAGGGGGACATTGTGAGGCTTTTTGCTAATGACCAGAATAAAATAAAATGTGGTAAGTACGTAAATAAAGGGTGGATTTGCAAAGATGTTCCTATTGGATTGCTTTCTAGGTTAGAACTGAGGACTATCTCCCGTAAACTCGAAGAATCAGTACTTATATTGATACGTCCATAAAGTGGCTCCAGCAAAAGTCTTTCATCCTTTTCTGCTTGCTTGGACCACGAGCGGATAGATTTGAAGGTTCAACTAAGTGAGCAATCTGTTCATTGATAATAGTGGGACCATGAAAATTATCTTGTATATTGGGCGTTCAGCAACCCTTGGACATGAAAAAGGAATACGGTAAAACCATCCAGAATTAAAGAAGCGAAAACTATAGATCACTTACAAAATGGTCAGACAAGTTCCAATCTTCAGAAGCTCTATGGTGACCTTTTGCTGTAAAATTCTCTAAATCGAAAGAAGAACCTTTTGTGCTTATTCTTCTGGAATGCTTTTCGGTATGTCTCAGTGTTCCTTTTTCCACCTAATGATCAGACAACATGTACTTTTCCTAAATTTTTTCAAGAATAGGACATGACTTATATTAGGCACAGGGTTCAACTTGGCCTCAAGGAAAATGGACTGATTGTCCCAATGTGGGCCTTGTAAGAAATTTATTCACCAGCTATGCAAATATTTCTCCGTCAAAGGAGTATATTGGACCTAATATCATCGACTGTGCACATGTTTCCTGATTCTTCTTTGACTGTGTAGGCGTGACTTGTAATGCTTGTTCTATGGCTTTTCTTGTCTGTCTCTTCGTTTCAGACTGCAAGGTTTTCTAATCTTTCTTGTATGCATGATTGTTTCTTTTGTAATTATTGCATCTTTAACTGGTTTAGTTAACTAATGCATCAGTAGTGCAGAGTCTATAAAATATCAGAATAATTAATGTAGTTAGCATGTTCTAGCTTGCTCAACAAATTTTCCCCTGAAGTGAATGCTTTATCATGGCTTATTGATTAGCTTCATTGCAGACGCAGATATGCAGATGGACATCAATAAATATCTTTCTAGTGGTCTGGCCATGTTTAATATTCTAATGCTGGTAAGTTGTGGTTGGCTGTGCTGTAAATGTTACCCCTCTTGTTTTAATGTTGCTATGATCTGTATCTTACTCTAATATGTTACGTTTACTACTGCCTGCTGTGATATTCACTTATGTAGTTGAGGTCATGGGATTTTGAACCCCTGACCTCGCGTCCTTAGCTCTGCCCCTAGACCAAGTGGCTATTGGAAGGATACACTAAAGCCGGTAGTGAAAAATAGTGGTCGAAATACTCTTTTGAAGTAATGTTGGAGGAATTTCAAACTATGCACTCTCTCCTTTGCTAAGATCATTTCTTGGGAGGGAGATTGATCTTATGCATATTTTCAAACTTCTCTATTACCAAGATGCCATTAGCTTGGTTTTCCTTTAGCTGGTTAATGTTATTTTGCGTGAAAATGCAAGTTTTGTCGAAGATGTAGAATTCTCAGATCTGCTGGACACAAATCATTGCCCTTGCTTGTCTGAGCTTGTAAAGCACTGGGTAAAATCGGTTGACTTAAGCCTCCAACTTGTTTTTTACAAATTGGTGTACTTGCGTATGCTGAACTGGGGCAATATAGAGAATTTTATGAACAGGAAAAGAAAGAAATTTTAGAGAAACAGAAATTAAAGGTGGTTTCATGTAGGACTATGAGTCCCAAATATAGTGAGCCCCATTAAGATTGAACTTCGAAAGCAACTTGGTTCCAATAGATAAAAGAGAACTAGGGGTGAGCGGTTCCAGGTTCCACCTGAAACCTGGAACCTACCCTCGGGTACAGGTTCGTCATTTTTCGGAACCTGGAACTTACCCGTCGGAACCTAGAATTCCAGGATAGGTTCCAGGGTCTAACAGGTTCTTTTTTTATTTATTTCATTTTTAGTTAAACAAAACGAAAATGAACGCAACAATACTGAACAAGCTTGTCATTCACCAAAGATAATTCAAAAGACTAGTTTTCTTGGCATTACGGTTCAAATAAATACAATTAAAATGAGAAGTTATTGCGTGAATCGATACTAGAATGAGTGATTTCATGTTCTGTACAGGTTCCACCTGGAACCTAGAACCTACCCATGAGAATAGGTTCCTCATTTTTTGAACCTGGAACCTACCTTATCACAGGTTCCAAGGTCTACTCAGGTTTCACCTATATTATTAATTGATGATTGCAGTGAATCATCACCTTTATTGACCACAACTTATATTTAGACACATGAAGAATATGAAACATTAACAAGTCATAAAATGAAAGCTCAGACTAGTGGTTCTAGATTATACGCTCATCATCTAATGCCATGAAACACTGCAGGATCATGTGAAGATATAGATCAAGAAAAAATACAAAAAATTTGTTTAAGTTTCAGGTTCCCGGTTTCAGGTCCCAAGTTCCACCTACCTAGAACCTGGAACCTACCCTTCGAAACAGGTTCCCCAATTTTTGGAATCTGGAACCAACTCTGCATACCTAAGAACTTGGAACCTACAAGTTCTCATCAGTCGGGTTCTTAGGTTCTAGGTTCTACCCTGGAACCATGCTCACCCCTAAAGAGAACCTTGCACCTAAGAAATAATTTAAAATATCAAGGTCAACAACTTAAATTTAACCATAAAAACTTAAAAGCAATTTTCACACTGAACTAACCTACACTGTAATAGTGATCGATAGAAGAATTCTAATAGTAGGACTGTTATTTTGAATCATTCAATATATAACTAAGTTTCTTTGCTCAATGTTCACCACCAACTTCATGTGATACTTTCTTTTTCTCTTTGACATGCACATTAATGGAACGTCGATGTGTCATATGACCTTTCTCCACGCCACAAGCAAACATTATTATTGCTTTGAGTTGTGCCTGAATCCATGAGTTCTCATGATCTCTTCCTCACAACCAACAATGTCAGATGATCCAAGTTCTTCATCCTTAGGGATGATTACTTCTTATACTTGATCCGGAGCATTTTAACTAATTTTTTCTGAAGAGCGGCTTGATGAAATTGTTAAAACATACCACGTTTCTTATCTACCTTTGACTAGTCTTTATATAAACGTAGTCCCTAATTCACCTAATAGCCATAGTCGATAGGATCCCAATCTGGATCGTAGGATCATGATTTAAAACTTAAGAAACGGTCCAGATCATAAGTAGGATATTAATTTGCTAGGGTATTAACATGGTCCTGATCTTAGGCAGAGAAAATTGTAGGGTAAACCGGATACCACCAATCCAATTTTGATATATTTTAACCTCGCAAGCTGTTTATCATGATATTGAGGTTGCAAAATCAAATTTTCTCTAAAAGTAGTTTAAAGATGACAAAAGCTTTAACGTCCTGCTTTTTTAAGTATTAATATCACGCAATGTTCATAATGAGTAAATCTCATGTAACTGTGCAAGATTGTTTTATTGTTGTTCTAATTTTTATGGTCTTACAATCCTAGATCTGAACCTTTAGGCACCTCCATTGATCCTAAGTAGAATTCCAATCCTAACAACCTTGATAGTAGCTTAAGCGTTTGGGTTGAAAATTTTAATGTGATATTGGAGCTAACTTTCAGTTGTTCATGCGCCATTTCCTGTGTGTCGTTTTGCATGTGATTCCTGTCCACATGATATTCTTAAATGGGTTTGGTCATGATAAGGGGTGTTAAAGTATCTCACATTGCATGTCTGTACGGTTGATTAAGTCTTGTATATATGTAGTCTCCCTCCATCTAATAGATTAAGCTTTTGGGCTGGAAATTATAAATATAGATGGCGTCTAAATTGGTTGCTACTCTTGGCAAGGTGAAGCTTCTTTAGTGGCTCAAACTTTTCATCAAATTTTTCTTAAGTGTACCCAAAATCCACTTTTTTGCAAGACTTCGAACTTGGTATCCAAATCAGTGTCCAACATATTGGAAGTTAAATAGTAATAGTACAGTCGCTTTGATATCAAACCCTTAGGAGATTGAGTCCCAAAATAGCGAGCCTCGTTTGGATTGAATTCTGAGAGGGACATGCTTGTAATTATGTTTATGCAGAATTTTTTAGGCATTATGCCTAAAGCACACCTAGCCTGTCTCAATAATCAGACTTGAGAATTGCATGACTCACTGTTCAAAAGCAAACAACTGATAAAATTCAATAACCTTCATAACCTTCTAACAAGGGCAGAATTACAACCGTTTGTATAACACTCTTAAACTGCTCATAGTCCAAATAGAAACAATAAAGATCCTACTTCAAATGGAAATAACATTCTTACTGAATTGGTAGACTTTTGACTCTATTTAATAAATACGTTAGGATTCTTATGTAAGTTATGGATATACACAAAGGTCCATCTTAACCAAAACTTGGTGACAATGTCATAATTTCAATCGCTATCCGCTTCTTCTTTAAATGTTCTTTTTTTTTTTTTCCGATTTTGTGGGCTTCATCATTATATAAGTGAAAGAAAGTGAAGGTGATTATGAAAATAGTAATGGACTTAATAAATTCTGGGTGCGCATAGAGATGGTGCATACAGTATCAGGTCTAGTTGAGTTACTGGCCTGGTTGTTGATTGGTAAAGCTAGACTATTACCTTCTTGCTGGCATAAATTATGGTCAACAACATTGAGGCTCACAATCTTGATGAAAGATGAGGATCCAATATGTCCAAAGGTGAAGGGCAGGCAGTGCAGGTTGCTGGGACTGGTTAGTCGCATGCCTATTTGGATGAAGTGTGATTGGCATGAACTTTCTAGGTTTAATACCTACAGCGGCATGAAATGATCAGGAATGGCCGATTGGTCGGGAGAATTCCAGCAGGGAATGGAATTGACATAATTGGTGCCTACTGTTGCTTCTTGCGCTACCAGTGTCAAGCGAAGATGGGGTGTGATGAGATTAGAGGTAGCGGCGGTGATTTTCTCCTTGATGGACTTTATGGAATGGTCTCATTGAGAACTTCTGGTGTAGGGATCAGTCATTGCTAGTTCTCAATTCTTATCTGCCCGCACTGTTGACAGGGTGCAGGATGACACATTACTGTCTTTCTTTCCTTCTTTTATCAGGATTATGGCATGACGGAAATACAGTGCTGATATACAAGAAAAACGGATATGACCCTTATATATAGAGTAGATTTGGAATTTTGATAGCGAAGACTATCTGATTTGACTGATGAACACATCTAGAATTTTTCTTGACCGCATGAAGAAAATTTTATTACTAAGTTTCTAAATCGGTGCTTTTTGGTTTCTTTTCATTAAAAGCATGCAACTCTTACAATGTCCCAATCATGTTATGATGGTCTAAATTTCTTCAGTGTGAATTACATCTATGATCTTACAAGGCTGTGGTCATTCAACTGTGATCTAATTTTTGGCTATTAACTTACAGACTTGATTATCTTTAGAATGATCAATAATTAGCTCCTTTCCTATTGAGAAAATCAGGTCGCCCTTTTCTTTTTCTTTCGATATGGTAGGGGTCTCAGACCAGGGTTTTCTTGTGGGAATCACTAGTGTACTCAAATGTTTTTCGATGTTCAGTATCATTAATTATGATTTTTGTCTTCCCTAATCGCTAAATCAGTTTGAAATTAAACTCTCGATGCCACTTTAGTTTATTCGGGCTGTTGTTTTTTCAGTGGCAAGTTCTGCATGTGACAGTCCATGATCTTAACTATATACAGGTTGACTCTTCTGAGAATTGGGAACAAGCTGCCCTAATTTTGGGACGGTCTAGCTACGAGATCAAAATCATTAGAACAGGAGCGGTACTAATTGCTGAGAAGTTCTCAAAGCAGTCGTCTGTAAGTGAAGTGCTTGTAAATTTAACGTATGTTGGATAGCACATGCATTAGACGGACATTCAGTCATGCACAAGTTAGAATAATTGAACTCGAAGTTCCATAACATTGATGGATGTTGTAGATATATGGTTACTGCAAATGGTTTTTAGCAGTCTTGCTTACCAAGATAAATATATTGCCTTTTGAAAGAGCTGCTTGTTAATACAGTGAAGATATGCCCAAGTTGTTTTGATTTGCTTTCACAAAAGATTTTTTCACTGTATTACTTCACATTGGCATAAAAGTCGATGAAAGTCACAATTTTTGGGTTATACTTCAAGTAGAGGAACTTATATGACACTATTCTTGCAGATAAAAGTTCCTTCTGGGCTCTCAACGCAGTTTGTTTTGACTTGTTCAGATGGATCGTTCTTTCCTATAAACACATACGGCGTCCGGTAATACATATTTTGATATGTATATTAATTGTCACCATTTGCCTTTATTTGCTATACACGTTTTGATAGTTAAATTTCTTCTTACCCTGAAAAGTTTATTATTTTAAATTTTCATTTCTTCTATCAATGAGAGTCTCAAAGGTAAATACGAGAAGTTGAACTCTTGGCTTTATTAGCCTGTATAAAGTGAGAATATTTTAGAGGATATGAGTAATTTATGCCTGTTGATTCTATGCCAGGATACTGCATTGCTAATACAGCCAGCATACTATTTTAACTTTTGGACGAACAAAAGCCCCAGGATGGCTTGCATCTACACTATGTGTAATTTATCACTTGGTGATAGCTACACTGGTTAACCTTCTACATCAAATGCGGAAACTAAATAATTTTCCTGCTGCAACTGTCCTGTAAAATGCCCATGCCAACTTGAGCTATTATGATAAACTGCGGCCTCTTTTTTCCTCTTTCTTATTGATAAGCTTTGGACCTTGAGCCACAAACCACGCAATATAACGATGTTTTCAGGTGTTCATCCTGGATAAATAACGATAATTATTCCCTAACAGGATAATGCATGACAAGGTCTTGATGATTGAGTTTCTCTGGATAAAGTTCCATCATGTTTTATCCCTCTCCCCATAAAAGTGAACTCATAAGAACGTAGAATCATCATCTTTTGTTCGGCAATCGGCCTCTCCAAAGTTTTGATACCCATTGGCCTGTGATTTTTGTCATCTCACCTGTTTATATGTTCTAAACAGAAGCATTCCTACTACACATTTATTCTCTGTTCTCTCTCGTGCATTGGATAGAGCTTGATTAAAACGCCAATTCTTGAAATGATGTTTTTCGTGTTACTTTTGTAGAGAACGCGACACTCTTGTGGTGACTATGAGAACGTTCCAAAGCAAGGTACTTTTCCTGGTCAAACAGCTGTTGGGAGGACCCTTCCGTCCTGCTCTTTCTAGTAAAATGTGCATTAATTTCCTGGATCTGCTTGGGATTTTGACAACTTGCTTTACAATAGAGCTTGATATGGATTTATGCTTATTGGTATATGGATTTTTTTATTTATATTGGCCCCGGGCTCCTCTTCGTTCTGTGTACCGTGTCAGTCCACTACGCAACCTTTGCATTGGATACTTGTCAATTAGAGGCATAGATCCAATTCCATTCTTCATGTAATGAAAGCATGTACATGCGAATACAAACAGCAGGTATCCCACCCAAGTATTGGCTACCAAAGTTAGAAGGACGATATCCAAGCGAAGAGTTCCGATCTGTTGTACCATGTAACTATGAAATATTTATCAGAGTCGAAAATAGGCTGCTTAGACATATGCTTGATACACAATGTGATCGTTCCTGACAGCTTATTAAGTTTTTTTAGAAACACAGCTGTTCAATAAAGGCAAAAGATGCTAATTGTGCATGTTGTCTTCTTCTTCTTCTTTTTTTGTTGCTTTTTTCTTTTTTATTCCGGTATATTTACTCTGATTTTCCAATGTCTTCCATGTACAGGCTCTGGACGACAAGAGAAAAGCAAGAGCATAGACTTAGGGAAGTCGGTCGGTAGTGTCGATAGTAAAATTTCCCCCCACTATAGAAATTCAGAAACAATGATTTAATGTCGAGGCTTGTCATTTGATTTTGATAATTTATGTTATAATTTTTTCGTCTTCTACGAGCTGTAATTTTTTGACCATAGGCATATTACTACACGGCCTGCATTAATCGGCGAATCTCTCCTTGACTGGAACTTCTGTCATGAGCTCTACTCTACATGGTCAGGGCTGTCTGAAATGCCAATGTCTTGGTTTTATATGCCGTATTCCGAGTAACCGTTCTTCTTCAATGTTCGAATTGAAATTTGCCGTCTCCCTTTCATTTTTCTTTTCGGGCTAGGGAAAGAGACTTTCTTCTGAACAGGATAAAAATTTTGGTGGAGTGGAACTTTGGCTTGCTCACTTCGTCACCGAGCTTCAAAAGAAGGGCCTCGAAAAAATTCGAGGTCGGTAAATGTTTTTGTTTGACAGTTGAAATGCAACTCGATTGGAAGGCCGTGATCTGTGAATGGACGAATTGCTGCCGGAATTGGGGAATGAAGATGTGATTTGCTTATTGCATGGAACTCATTCGAATGCTCTGATGCTTTGGACTTAGCTATGGGCTAAGTCGTATGGCACATGTTAGCACGGTTGCGAACACGGCCTCTTTTCCGATGAGCATGTCACGGCAGATAACTTCTGCTGTATTTATATCTTTGACTAGAGAAAGAAATTCGCAAAATCATGTACGTGAGGGGATACCTTGCGAACCGAGGCTGACCAACCTTTATTTGGTTCAATGGACACACAAGATGAAGAAATCACCCTTTTTCTGTCGATCGGGATCTGAAAGTTTGCTAATCATGCTTTCATGCACCATTTTGGCAGTAGGAAAAACAAAGATTATGATGAACCATTGACTTCAACTGCTACCATACAGAAAAGGACTCGCAAGATGAACCAAAATTATAAAACCGGGCGTGAGAACCCTATTTTACGAGGCAACACAGCTCGCCTTGTGCGTTAACGTAAGGATCTCGCTTATGTTACCGAATGCTTGAATATTTTAAGCTCACGCCGGCGGTGACCACAGAGACTAGGTAGAGAGACCCTCTGTGTTTTCGACATCGTGCCCTCTTACGTGCCACGGTTTCATTGGCTGATCAAGGTCGGAAGTGGGTGGCACTCTCATTTTCATACCGAAGGAAAAGGGTATGTGCGAGATTCGTCTCACCTACACTTTACCCGCCCGGCTAGATAGTCGCTTCTCCCTTATTTGATTTGTTATTGGCACCTGGCTCGAGAGAATTTCAACTTTTGATTGAATCAAAACTCTGACGATGGGGGGGAGAAAACACACAACCCAACCAATCATTCGGTTAGTCAACAGAAACCATCACCTCCAATGTAGAAACTCCACCCTACATGATGAAAGACCGCCCCCAACAAAAAGAAAATTGAAAAAGTAAGATGATAAGGTGGCACGTCAGCTTTCCACCTCTCGCTCTCTCTCAGCTTTGCTTACCTTTTCATCCAAGACCCACCTCCCTTTTGCTCTCCTTTTCCTCTTTGACACCTTCCCATCATCTCAAACCTCTCTCTCTCTCTCTCTCTCTCTCTCTCCTGCCTTCCTTCCTGATATGCAAGTTGAGCTCAGATTTGTTTGGGAAACCAAACATCCTGGCACTGTGTCCCAGCATTTAGTGCCCCCCCATATCTAAGAGCAGACAAAAAAATGGGATCTTCAGGCAGCCCTGACCCTTGGGCACCATATGACACCTACAAGGACTGCTCTCTACGAATCTGTTCAGTCTACTGCCCCCAGTGGTGCTACATCATCTTCCCTCCGCCCCCGCCTGATGACCCCGGGGATGGCTCCGGGGGCACCTACTTCTCTCCCCTGGTCATCGCGGTCATCGGCATCCTGGCGAGCGCCTTCCTCTTGGTGAGCTACTACACCATCATCACCAAGTACTGCAGGAGGAGGAGAGGGAGCAACTACACTCTGGACCTGGCCGATTCTGCCAGGGACCACCAGATGAACAGCGGGCCGTGGCAGAATGCCGCGTCAGGAGGGCTGGAGGAGGCGGTGATCAAGTCGATAGCCGTCTGCAAGTACAAGAGAGGGGACGGCCTAGTCGAGGGCACGGATTGCTCGGTCTGCCTCAGCGAGTTCCAGGAAGACGAGAGCCTGAGGTTGTTGCCCAAATGCAACCATGCTTTCCACCTCCCTTGTATCGATACCTGGCTCAAGTCGCACTCGAGTTGCCCGCTCTGCCGATCAAACATCGTGTGTGCTAATCACGACCCGCCGCCGATGACTCTTCCCCGAGATACGGTGCCGGCCCAAGAAGCTCCTCGGGTGAGCAATGATGTCCAAGCGCTAGGATCCCAGCATAGAGACGAGACCATCCTAGAGATCCGCGACGATTTGAGGATCGAGGATCGCGACGAGGCCGCCCTTACTGTCACCCCTAGCGACGGCCTTGCCACTTCAAAGTCTCCATTTCGCGCTCCAAGGACAACTGAAGACAGGGAAATCGAAATCGGGCAAGACGATGCTCAAAGAATGAGGAGATCCGTGTCCTTGAACTCCGGCCTATCGCAAGGACGGGTCTCGGTCGCGGACATTTTGCAGGATTGCGAACAAGACGATGATGATCATTATCTCAATTGCATTCGAGTGGAGGATGTGCAAGTTGCAATGGGAATTGGACCCTCGAAGCCACTTGGTGGAGAAGATTCCAACTCCAACCACAGAACAAGTGTGACACCCCACCGAGTTGAAACGAGCCCGCCAGAGATGAAGAGATCCATTTCCACAGGGAGATTCATGTTCGGAAGGTACGGGAGAGGGAGGAACTTCACCTAACCCCGCCAGCTGAATTCTTACCCCTCTTCTTTTTCCACGTTTGCTGTACACACAACACAATCACTCTGTGCATACGATACGATACCGAAACGAAAGGGACAGATCTTGATGTACATTCTTCATCCGGACATAGAAAAAATGAGATTTGCACTTGGGTGTTCCTCTGCAGAAAAAACCCATCCTTCCTGTTTTTTTTTTTGTTTGCACCTGGTTGAGGTTTTCACCTTCCCTAGATGCATCCCAGGCAAGTTGAGGGATCAGCAAGTGTGCCCACCTCCATTGATTTCCTAAAGCAGAAAAACAGAAAGAAAGAAAAAAACGAAGGTGGAGGAACCCACTAGATTCCTAGCTCCAACATGGGTTACTTTTACTCTGTTGCCAATAGGCATATTATACTTGATTTCAGCACCAGAAATTTTATTATGATTTGTTTATAGAAGTGACTTTATTCCTGTTCCCAACTTTGTGAATCATGTCAAGTCATGTGTGACTCATCACCGTCCTTTTGCTCCCCAAAATAATAATTATTCATAATTTTCAGTGTTGACTTTTTAGAGGCTGGCGGGGGCATCTTTGAGCCAGCAACTTTTTTCGGCCAGGGAAATTAAAAAGTTAGGAAAAGGAAAATTAAAGTGAAAGAAGGAAAAGAGTAAAAAAAAAAGGATTAATAACACGAAAAATCTCAAATTAGTATATTTATGATAAATTTATTTTAAATTAATTTTGTGATTACTAAAAATTTCAAACTGGTATACATATGATAAATTTACCCAAAATTAATTTCTCGACCACAAAAAACCCCAAATTGATATATTTCTGACAAATTTACCTTCTATTAAATTGGATTAATATAATGAAAAATCATAAATTGGTAAACCTTAAAGGGTAAAATCCCAAACTGGTACATATGTCAACTGTCACGTATCGTCAAACTCAGAAATTTGACGTAAAGAGGGTAAAATTATCATAGGTGTACCAGTTTGGAGTTTTTGGTGATCAAAAAATTAATGTGAGATAAATTTATTATAAGCGTACCGATTTGGGGTTAATCCGAAGGAAAATTAAAGAGAGAAAAGGACAAGACGGTGCACCTACTGTTGCCTCAAACTAAATGAGCTGAGAACGACCTTCGGCCAAACGAGGCTTGATCTTGATTCTTCATTGAACCTAGAACATATCATCATGACTCTTCTTTTTCTTTTCTGGTTTGGGTGGTCAAAAGAAGAAATCAATCGAGGAATTCAATTACTTTGAGCAAGAAGGCGTGAAAAATGCATAAGTTGGAGGTGGTGGTGTTTGGGACAAGAATGGTCGGCCCACCTACCACAAGTCATACCAAAAGTTTTTGCAACGAGAAAGGGATAATGAATCCGCAAATACCTAAGTTTTTCGCCGGCTTTTCGATAACGTATTCAAATTCTTCTTGTTCAATTGAGTATCTTGGTTTTCGAAAAGCAGCTCGAGTCGATACTCTGATTAGATTGAATGCCGCGTCGTGAAATTTTCGCCGACTTGTCTTGCCAAATCAACCTAAAATGAAGGCAGGGCCATGGCGGCGTGGCCGAGCGATGGCGGCTAACTAGGGTTGTGTATTGGTGGTGGTGATGGTAGTTTTAAGGAAATTATTTTCGAAATCATTAATTTTTCGTAAAATAAATAAAACTTTAATTGAGATATGTATATTGAGAGCGATGTGGATGCATGTCAACCGTCTCATAGTTTATTTTCCGATGATTTGGCATCACCACGAAACGACACGTAGGCATCTAACTTTGTGTAACTAATGGCGACTTGACGGCAAAGTTGGCCACGCCAGCTACATCCATTAAATTTCTTTTAATGGAAGTAGCCTACTTCAGAGTTCAAAGTACTCAATTGAATCCAAGGAAAAGTTGAGGTACTTCTGAGTTCTGGCATCTACACAATCCTCGTTCAGTTCTTTGCACGAGATCTGAGCTAAATTGGTATTCTTGTCTCAATCATGGTTCCTTTCCAGATCATGCGTCTTATCTTTCTATCGGTCCTTTCGGTTCCGTCTCTGATGGAATTGTTTGCTCCCGTCGATTCGGAAAACATATAAAGGGATGTCGAGAAACCCGAACCGGCTCGAGCCTAAATTTGTAGGTCGGGCCTCCTTCTTGTTCGAGTAATGAGTAAATAAATGGGTATGTGAACGGTACGGTACGGTTCGGTTCGGGCCGAAAAACTCAGCCCAGCACGAAAGTCGCTGACGTTGACGCCGGCTGTCGTACGTGGCTTGACCACGACGTTAGTGATTTCTAGTCAAAATTTAGCATAAGTACTATATAGGTAAATCGTCACAAGATTTAGAACTAAATTGGTAAGTCGTCAATAGATTTTGGACAAAATTGGCTACATTAAAAAGTTTAGAATTGAATCGGCCATTGTATAATAGATTTAAGACTTTTTTGACTAAACATGTGCCGTGTCTTTGCGGGCTTTGTCCCGCCAATTCGACACGGAAAGGACAAGAATTATGAGGTGGACCGTCACGTCATTAATTTTTTTTTTCCCAAAATTAGCAAACAAGTACCTTCGGCATGTAATCTAATAAAGAGTTCAGCAAAATTGTAGCCGCTGGAGTGAGCAAACATCAATGAATACGGATGAGCACACACTAGTTAGATGGGAGGATTAAAAAAAAATAGAGAAAGGAATTCGATCACTATAGTAGAGAAATAGAAATGAGAAAATGGAGCGGCAATTTGGGAAAAGTACCAAAACAACTCTAAATCTATTGTACTTGTGTCGATTCGATCCTAAATCTTTCAATTGTATCGATTGATTTATAAATGTTTTGACAGTTTACAAATGTAGTCCATTTGGCTAAAATCGTTGACATGGACACTAACTGTCTTCCATAGAAAAGCTAGCGCTGACATAGACAATTTTTACAATTCTTTATTAATTATATTTTCTTTTTCTTTTCTATCTTTTGTTTTTTTCTTCTTCCTTTGCCAGTCGCTGGGCCTTGGCGATGGCCGACGACCAGCCACAAGCAATGACTGGCAAGCGTCGACCTCGCCGGGATCTAGTGAGGGGCAACGTCGTTGGCCTCGTTGGATTTGGCAAAGCGAGACTCCCCTAAGGCTAGCAAGGTAGGATCTGGTGAGGCTGGCCCTTGTCGGCCTCTGGTTAGGCTCTTCCTTGCCTGAAGCTAGCGAGGCCAACCCTCACTAGCCTTTGGCAAGGTTTGACCTCACCGGATTTGGCAAAGATGACCTCACCTAAGGTCGGTAAGGGCAACCCTTGCCGATCCTTGCCTTTGGCCAATCTCTGGCCATCTCTGAGGCTCTACGATCGGCAAAGAAAGAATGCAAAAAAAAGAAAAGAAAAGAAATAAAAAATAAAAAATAATCATAGAAAATAATTAAAAATTGTTCACATCATCGCCGGACGTGCCACACAGGACGATTGGCATTCACGTTACCGATTTTTTGCCAAAATTGGCCGGATGGACAGGTTTAGTACTTAATTGATGTAATTAAAAAGTTAATGATTGAATTGATACAAAAACAATAAGTTTTGGACTTTTTCGATACTTTTCCTGTGCCAATTTGCATGCATTGAGTTGGTTACTATCTATCTATAAATCCTTATATGCAGTGCATGCTTGACCTCCTCATTTTTGTGGACTCTCTCCCCACTAAATAAATGAGGCTACACAAACTTGAGCTCATAAAAAATGTTAAACACTAAATTGTACCAAATAAAGATTAGAACTCAAAGCTGCATCTCAAATTTTAAACAAAATGAAGATCGTGAAAACTAAAATCTAACTCGGTATAAATTTTCACTCGGTCTTCAATTCTTTATTCGAGAGTGGCTTTCCAATAGATCGGGCGCATACGTGCCCCTCTTACATAGTTTTGGCCTTTGCGTTCGGCATCAGTGTGGTCGACTTTACAGTCGAGAGTAGATGCGGCGAACGGATGGATTGGGTCAGGTTTGAGTGGATCACATATGAGCGTGAGCTATATTGACCCATATAGCCCATTTTCATATAATGTAATTCATTCAACCGGTACCCAACCCAATCCGGACCTAATCCAAACCCACCAAGATAACTCGTATTTTGAAAATGACCATTAGATCATCACTAAAATGAAGAAGAAGGAAGAAAGACACTAGAAGTGTCAAAAGTTGTGTACGACGCTCATTTTAGTGCTAAAAGTTTTTTTTTGATCACTTAAATGCCACTTTTAAAAAAAAAAAACGATCACTTAAGTACTAACTCCGATCTAAGTCGCCGGAAGTTTGACGTTGCCATATTTTATTAATTTCTTAGTCCTGCGTGGCTAGACGACGTGCCCATTCAGCACATAACCCCTAAACGACGTCATCTAAAAGTTATAAATAGTGTTTGTTTGAGTGCCAAATTTTGTTTAAAGTGATCACTTCAGTGCCAATCGTTGTTAAAAAACGATCACTTCAGTGCCAATTGGATTGTGCGACGTTGTTTTGGATGTCCACGTGGATTAGATTTTTAAAAAAATATGCCAATTCATATTAACAATTTTAATTTTAAATGCCACGTAATCAATTTATCCGAAATTGGCACTTAAGTAATCGTTTTTTTTTTTTTTTTCGATTTGGCACTTGAGTGATCCAAAAAAAACTTTTGGTACTAAAGTGAGCGTCGTATACAACTTTTAATACTTCTAGTGTTCTTCTCCCAAAGAAGAAACTTAACAACTTAAAAAAAATGATGGCAAAAAGTAATCGAACAATGCAAATCCGAACTAAGATGAAAAAACCAATATCAAAAAGAGAAAAAAAAGACAGATCTATATTGTATCCTCAACAGATATGTGAACCACCAAACACCATTGATGATGTCCCTATCGGTGGCTCTAGTGGCAACCACTGGCCCCATTGCCGGTCGCGGTCGAGAGACCGCCTCGACGGTCACTCTTTCTCTCTCGATCGCTTGCTCTCGGAAAGCTCGATTCCATCAAGATTGGGAAAGAGGGCCATCTACCCCGTCTACTGGCGCCACAATGGCGAGGGTGCACGTGGCACGGGACGCCGATTACCTTATACAGCCACTAGAGTGGGAAAAGGGACCACATCGAAGACGATAGACGAAAGAGACGACATTGCTATTGAAATCGCGTCATTCATCTGTCCAATCAATCAAGTGATACATAAAGACGCGAGTGGGGTGCCGGTACAAGTTGGGGTGGCGATTTTCAATGATGGCGGCGGTGAGCCGACTGCTGTGGTGCGGGTCTGGCGGCGGCGGTGGCGTTGCTCAGTCCACGGTTGGGGTTCGTGGCGGCGGTCCGCCGTCAGTGATGGTGGGTGGAGGCTGGTTGTTGTATAGAAAAACGCGGAGAAACCAACAAGTAAAAGCAACATTTGGGGTTAGGTGGTGTTGTATAGAGAGTTATGTGGAGGCATCTTAGCCGTTCGACATTGTTTTCGGAAATACCGAATTGAGCCCTATTTCAAAGAACTTAGGTACATAATTGAATCAAAAATAGAATAAGTTTGGTCGACAAAAAAAAGTTGGGATATTTATGTAACCCTTATTTTGATCGAATTCGGATCATAGTTCTCGCACGAGATCGAGCTGATTGGGATTCTTCTCTCTATCGATCCTTTCGGTTCCGTCTGCGATGGATTGCTCCTCGTAATCGCATCGATTCCGCTCTCGCAACGACGTTCGTTTGCATCGCGATATTTGGTGACCTTCCCCCGGTTGCTGGTTAAACAAAGAAGAATCACGATTCGATCTATGAACCTCGAACATCGCAAATCAACACAACAACGCGAATCAATGGGCCGCTTGCTCCTCGATTTGATTAGATATTTTAGCGAATCGAAACCCACACGAAGCATAGCCACCAATGCCTCCATAATCCGAGCTTACCCAATTTTTAATTTTTCTCGTGTTATACGAAATCGATATTCTAAACACTTATGCTTCATGAATATTGGCACGTAGGTGACCGAACATAGGCCCGACCCGACCCGAACCGAACCGTGCGGTCACCGGTCCGTTCAAACTGCAGAGAAAACAGATTCTCGGGTTCAACTATTACAAATACCGAAGCTTTATTCATCACTCACCGCGATCGTCCGGCGGAGACGGGAGCCCTCACGACTTGGCGGCGCCGCCGCCGCCGCCGGCGAGCTTCGAGGCCTCGAGGTCCGCGGCGCGCTTGAGGAAGCTGGGGTCGTCGTCCTCGAGCGCCATCTGGATGGGGGACGACCCGAGTCCGTCGGCGATGGCGAGCATGATCGCCCGCATCTCCGACCGGAACTCCTCCCGGTCGACGGCGCCGCTGCCGTCGCCGTCGAAGCGCTCGAAGATGGAGTCGTAGAGGGCGGTGAGCTCCTGCGGCGGGGTGGCCACGTCCACGCCGAAGTCGGACTCGATGAGGCGCATCGACTCGATGGCACGGCGGAGCTCCGAACGGGAGAGGACGCCGTCGCCGTTGACGTCCAGGGCGGCGAACTTCTCGTCCACGCTCTTCTTGAACTGCTGCTCGTCGGCGACGAAGGAGCGCACCGTCGTGCCGTCGATGATCACCACCCCCATCTCTCTCGCTCTCTCTTTCTCTCTCTCTCTCTCTTCTGGTTAGGTGAGTTCTGTCGAATCTCGAAGCTGGTAGCTGTCTGAAACTGAGGATATATTGAAAAGTGGAAATGGAAAGCAATAAATAGAAAAAAAAATAACTTTATATAAAGGAAAAAAAAGAACGATTAATATCACGAAAAATCGTATAACCGTTACAAATTTACCCGAAGCTAATTTTTTTTACAATCAAAAACCTCGAATCGGTATACCCCGTTAGTCGAATTTCCATATGATTGAGCACGTTTTAGCCTCCTCCGATTTGTGATTTTTTGAGGTATTGATCAAATTACGGAAACTATAAGAAGGTAAATTTGTCACAAAAAATTAGTTTTGAGTTAGGTGAGTTATGTCGATGCTCGAAGCTGCCAGCTGGTAGCTGTATGAAACTGAGGATATATTGAAAAGTGGAAATGGAAAGCAATAAATAGAATAATATTTTGTTTGGTCGGAAAAGGAAAAAAAGAAGAAAGAAAGATCAATACCACGAGAAAAAACCGTAAATTGATACGCATGTGACAAATTTATCAATTTTATCGTCGAATTTCTGAGTTGGATGACACGTGACAGCTGACGGGTGTACCGGTTCGGGATTTCACCCTCCGTCTGTCACGAGTGTATCGATTTGTGATTTTTTTTTTTTGTGGTATTGATCCAAATTAACGGAAATTAACGGATGGTAAATTTATCGCACATGTACCAGTTCGGGAATTTTTATGGTCAAAAAATTATTTTTTAGATAAATTTGTTACAGGTGTACATATTTACGGTTTTTCGTAGTATTAATTAAAAAAGAATTGAATTTGATATCTTGTTTGGAAAAGGACGGGAATAACACAAAGTGCTATTTCTTTTTTCTAATTATTCCCACGGAGGACACGTGGGCACTATTATGTTGTTCACCAACTGATATTTTTTTTATAAAATAATTATTTTTTGGGGGGGAAAAAGCAGCACTCGGTGGTGGACATTCGGGGACAACGATTTCGGTCCACAACTTTATATATACCTTTGTTCACAGTATACTTTGCAGGACTTTTAACGAGCATAATTTAAGGGTGGGATTAATATTACAAAAAAAAAAACATAAACCGGTAAACCATACACTTTTAATTATCCCTATTAGTTTATGTTAAATTATACCGTCAAATTACTGAGTTGCATGACACGTGGCGATCGGCGGGTATATCAATTTGAGGTTTTACCGTCCATTTGTCATAAATGTACCAATTTATAGTTTTCCGTGGTATTAATAAATTTGTCACAAATATACCAATTGAGGATTTTTTGTATTCAAAAAATTAATTCGGGGTAAATTTATCATATCTTGAGGTTTTTTCGGTGTATTAATCTTTTAAATTTTAAACAATTTGATAGCAATTGCCGGCGTGGCCGTCCTACGCAGCACGGCTCACGCTGACGAGGCCCGGAATGAAACTCTGACCGGATTGGCCGGTTCAACCAGGTGAACCGAGAATTGAAGCGTGGTCCGATCTGGTTTTGGTGAAAGAATCGGAGCGATCAAGGACTAGTCAAACCCAGTGAACTGGCAAACAGTCTGACGGATATTTTGGCCTTATAAAAAAACAATTTTCTAATCTTGCAGAAGCAATGGAGTTACACGGTGGATAACTGTTTTAATGGGAACTTAGATTAATAAAATGCGTAATTCAAGACAAAAATTTATTCAAACGGTTCGACCGGCGATGGAACCGTCTGAACTAGCAGGTCCCGAGAACCGCGGGGCCCCCCGGCCTATTGGTTCTTGAACCGGGTCAGGTTTGAAAACATTGCTTTTGGATGTTTGTCATCTGATTTTACGGGTTTAGCTATTTGGTACCGATACGAAAAAGGTTTAGAACTAAATCAATCAAATTAGAAGGTTTAGGACTGAATTGGTACCAATGCAATAAGTTTAGGACTTTTTTCGGTACTTTTCCCGCTATCCGGGTATGGGTTTAAGGGCCTGGTGGGTCTTGGGCTTTGTAGAAATTGGATTGAGGACCTGTTGGCTCTTGGGTTAGGGGGCCACTTGAAACATTGCATACTCTTTGGTTCTTACTTTTGACTCACTTAAGTAGTAACGGGAAAAGCTTCTTATCCCTGCCAAATTTATATTCGAAATTTTTTTTAAATAACGTGGAATTTGGTAACGGGTATTCCAAAGAGTAATTGCTAAGTAATCAATCAAAGAAATTTGCACTTTCCAAAGCACTTATTGTCCGCATGTTAAACACCGTGTGCTGTTTCGAAAAAAAAATGGATTGTTTCAAATTAAGTATACTCGAAAAAAGCGTCTCGAGAGCACTCGTGAACAGGACCGTTATCATAAACATAAACTACGATACTCGAGAGAGCTAATTCGATACGTGCATCCTCAATGTGTACGCTAACGGTAAGTTTACGGAATGTCAAAGAGATCAATGACGTTGATCATACGGATATAAGTTGGTTCTAGAGGGTGTGGGTGAAAAATCTTTTGGGATGTAAATCCGGATGCCGTCGGGTCGATAGGAAGAAATTATGGCACGAAAAATGTCACTGCCTGCACCATTTCTTTGTTCCTAAAAAAAAATCAGATAATTTAGTTAATCGAACCGACAAACCATAGCCACCAATGCCTCCATATTCCAAGCTTAAGCAATTTCTATTGGGAAACTTTAATTTCTCCCGTATCATATATAATCGATATTCTAAAGATTTTATGCTTCATGGTTATTGGCACATACACGGACCGGACACATGACCCGACCCGACCCGTGAGAAACGGGTCACCGATTTATTCAAGTACTGACCGATCACCGACCGGGGCCCTCAAGATTTGGCGCCGCCGCCGCCGCCGGCGAGCTTCGAGGCCTCGAGGTCCGCGGCGCGCTTCAGGAAACTGGGGTCGTCCTCCTCGAGCGCCATCCGGATGGGGGCACGACCCGAGCCCGTCGGCGATGGCGAGCATGATCTTCCGCATCTCCGACCGGAACTCCCCCGGGTCGACGGCGCCGCTGCCGTCGCCGTCGAACCGCTCGAAGATGGAGTCGTAGAGGGCGGTGAGCTCCTGCGGCGGGGTGGCCACGTCCACCCCGAAGTGGGACTCGATGAGGCGCATCGACTCGAAGGCACGCCGGAGCTCCGACCGGGAGAGGGGCGCCGTCGCCGTTCACGTCCAGGGCGGCGAACCGCTCGTCCCACGCTCTTCCTGAACTGCTCCTCGTCCGCGACGAAGGCGCGCACCGTCGTGCCGTCGATGATCACCACCCCCATCTCTCCCTCTCTTCTGGTTACGTGGATTTCGTCGAAGCTCGAAGCTGGTGCGGGGGGGTCTCTAGGTCTAGGAATTTATTGGAAATGAGAAAAAAAACTAATTGAGTTTGATATTTATCGTCTTGGAAAAGGCCCGAGGATCACATGTAATATTTATTTTTTTTATGTTTGTTTCGTTGGGGCGACACGTGGGTATTGTTTGGGATGGGGATAACGATGACTAGAAAAACCAACGTTACATCGCCCCACCAATTTTTCTTACATAGTTTTTTGCGGAAAACTAAGAGGATGTGGGGGTCTTCTATATATTAGCGTATGCAAAAGGATGTACGCAGAGGTGCAATTAGGCTCTCAGGGGTCCTGTAGATCGATCCCCGCGCGGCGAAGAAAGCGATCGGTGCCCGGAAAAACAGAGGAAAGTCGAGCTTGTTTTTGAGCCGCCGTGTTTTTCGGGTTTGATGCTAGCCGCCCCAGGCGACTAGGGGTGAGCGGTTCCTGGCCCAACCCAAGAACCGAACCGGACCGGAGAATCGGTTCCCAGTTTCTAGGACCGGGGACCGGACCGGATAATCTTGGGACCAATTGGTAAAGGCAAAAGGGAACCAGGAAGCATTTTCGAGATCAATATATGAAAGCATTTTTGGGTTGGTCCCATTAGAACCGAATAAAAATGAACTATCAAATGCTTCTTTTGTTATTTAAATATATATTTAAAGAGTAAATAAATATATATATGAAAAAATTAGAAAAATATATATATTTATCGGTCCGGTTCCCATCCTAGAGCCGGGAACTGGACCGCCGGGAAACCGGTTTCACTTTTAGGAATTGAGAATCGGATCGATATTCCCGAGAACCGGATCAAACTGGTTGGTCTGGTCCGGTCTCAGTTTGAGCGGCCCATCTTGCTCACCCCTAGAAGCGACGCAACTGCTGCTGACCCTTGATAGGATGGGCCGAGGCGCCCGTTGGTCGAACTTGGAAATTTCATAAGAGAAGAAAGATGGCGCTGTTAAAAAAAGAAAGGAGAGATCGTTCTGTGATTCGAGACGAGTCCCTTCTCTTTTTTGGAAATTTCGCGTCGTTTAAGGTTATGACATTGTCGGAAGCGGTTTATTCACTTCAAGGTCTGACGGGAGATGTAGTTGCTTTGACTTTTTTTTTTTCTTTTGTCGAGATTGGCTTGGTCTTCTGTGCACGGGACAATAATTCCGGTCCGAAACTTCATATTTACCATTGAAAAGGTGTGATGTTCGAGGGTCATGCAGAAGATGGAAAGGTTAGATGTTTGGAAGCATTGGAATGCTGACTTTGGGAAGGGGTCAATTGCAGGGTCTGATACATTTTCGCTTGCGAGTGCAGCCATGTTTGTCCAGGCGAGGGTGAGTCCTCAATGTAATCCGATATCTATTTGGGTTTTTTTAAGAGACTTTGGGGATGGAGTATTGGAACCCGGGCCGGATCGGCAGGTTTGACCCGGAACTAGAGCAGGGTCCGCTCCGGTTTTTTGCGAAAGAACCGGAGTTGTCTGAGAGCCGATCAACCCGACCGTGAACCCGACAATGGTTTGACCATTCTTTGGCCTTATAACTTGCGCGAATGCAAGGTCCGGAACCCCAAAACGAGCAAGAAGCGCCTCAAACAACAGAGCTACCCGGTGAATGATTGTTTTTGTGGTAATTTAAGCCAGCAGAAAATGTAATTTAAGACCAAAAAAAAAATTTGTTCGACTGCCGTTGAACAGGTTGAATTGGCGGGCCGGTGAACCGCCCGGGCCTATCGGTTCTTGAACCGGGTTGGGTTTTTTAAAAATAAATATTGTTTTTGGATGTTTGTCACCCGGTTTTACGGGTATTTCGGTATGGGTTTAAGGGCCTGCTGGGTCTTGGGCTTTGTGGAAATTGAATTAAGGCCTGTTGGCTCTTGGGTTAGGGGCTGGTTTTGGGTAATTGTCCAGGCCTGTGATGGAAAGTGGTTGTCCCATTTGTCTTTGGTACTTGGTCAATGAAGATAATTACTTAACAACTAAAGAAATAATTGTAGGGCCAATTGAGACAATGCTTTAACTCTTTAGTTCTTGCTTTTGACTCACTGAATTGGTGAAGGGTTAAAGAGCCACAAGAGTTTTCCAACAAGGAAAAGCTACTTATCTTCCTTGGAATGAGTTTCGTCGAGCGGACTTTGTCAACGAGCGCCCTGTGAACACTTGTTAAGTAGTCGATTAAGGAAACTTAGCAGTTTCTCGATTATTAATTGTCATCACAATCAGTGTTTTGAGAATTGAATTAAATCCCAAAGTAAGTATACTTATAAAGTGTCTATGTGATATTGATTTCTGAATATGTAACTACTTAATCGCGCAGGCTGAGAAATGAGTGTTCAACGGCATGAAACAATGAAAGTTAATGGCCAACAACATAGACAAATGAGAGAGAGTAGAGAGAGAGAGATTTTTATTCGGGTGTTGGATGTTCGTGAGAATAACATCTTGAATTATTTTCAAAGAACTGTTCAATTGAAATCCCGATTTGGAGAAATCATATCCCTTTTGAAATATCATCTTATCTATAATTGACTTAGTTCTTCACGTGTCGATATCACGTAATTGCATTTGGCGCGAAGAACCAAATACCTACGGGAACCAAATGGTATTCTCTCCTTAATAATTGATGATGATAGTTTACCTCGAAACACGAGAGCCGGTAGATTTGCCAATCTTTACCTCCAAATAGGCCAAGTAGCTTTCAACGTGTACTCTTGCGAGTGGGAAGAACTCCCTCTTTCAGTGTGGAAAATCGTCAGGTCGGCGTCGTATTTCTTCTAATCAGATCATGTAATCTACAATTCATCTTGATAATATAAATTTTACTCAATTATTTGAATTTTGAATTTGGGGTCCCATCTATCCATAAGGTCAATCTAGCATTTTACAATTATTTAACGTGTAATTTATTTCCATATGGACCTAACTTTCGTACATCCTTCCTCAACCCCAAGAAGGACAACCCAGACCATCTGGCATAAAGCGCCCTCTCCTTCTCCCTCCTCTTTCTTCTCCATCTCACCGTCCTCGCCGATCAAACACAGACCGAAACATGGTCTCCGAGAGCAGCCCCGCCGCCGCCGCCGCTGCTCAGGCATGCCCCATCAAGACGGTGGTCGTTCTGGTCCAGGAGAACCGCTCCTTCGACCACATGCTCGGCTGGATGAAGTCCGTCAACCCCGACATCGACGGCGTCGACGGCACGCAGTCCAACCCTTTGTCCGTCGCCGACTCCAACTCGCTCCGCGTCGGCTACGGCGACTCGGCTGTCTACGTCGACCCCGACCCGGACCACTCCTTCCAGGCCATCTACGAGCAGGTCTTCGGCGAGCCGTGGGACGACGACGCCTCGCCGTCCAAGAACCTGCTCCCGACCATGGAGGGCTTCGTGCAGAACGCGGAGCGGAAGCAGGAGGGACTGTCCGAGTTCGTCATGAACGGGTTCAAGCCCGAGGCCGTGCCGGTCTACAAGGAGCTGGTCTCGGAGTTCGCGGTGTGCGACCGGTGGTTCGCGTCGATCCCGACGTCGACGCAGCCCAACCGGCTATACGTGCACTCGGCGACGTCGTGCGGCGCGATCGGGAACGACACGCAGAAGCTGGTCGAAGGGTACCCGCAGAGGACCATCTTCGAGTCCATGCACGAGGCGGGCCACAGCTTCGGGATCTACTACGCGTACCCTCCATCAACCCTCTTCTACAGGTAACCAAAAATGAAAGAACACAAAAGCATTTCGATAAGAATAAGGTGCAATAAAATTCAAAAAAAAAAGTTATAAAGCTTGGCATTTTTCAAAGCGTGTCGGTCCTACGTAAATCAAAGTGCATTTCCCTTGAATCCCTCTAAAAAGTAGACAAATTGCACTGTTGCTTTTGTTGGTTTTGGTTTGGAAACTTTACTAAGTATTCGATTCGTGTTCATGAGCGCAATCTCCGGACCAAGAAGAACATGCTTTCATCTGGGCTTGGTTTAAAAATTATAGAATCGGATCTTGACCTAATTTTAAGTGCCCTACACCAGATGTTTCGCCAACAAATGTTATTATATACTATATTGACTCGTTGGGGTTGTTGTTTGCTTAGATTTGCACCTAATATCTCGATCAAACTCCATTCGAGAGGACGCGAGTTCGTTGACCGACTTTTCTTGGTTTGACCTATTGTTTGTGTTTGTAACTTCTAGAACGTGTTGTCACATTGTAGGTATAATATAAATAACGCATTTTGGCGGGATTGAGCATGACAATTTAGATTTTGCTACGTTGTTGCTTTGGAGTATTGTTAATGTCGGATCCAAAGTTCTTTTTTGTACTAATTGGAGGGTCCATCAAAGGGGCAAAAATGGAAGTGCATAGTTGATTGCCCCGTGTGTAGGGATGACCGAAAGAGAGAGGCATTACCCCTATAGGGCCCGCTCGAACCCGTCTCGGTCGGGGTGGCCCTACCGCCACCTCGCTCGGCGGGGCGGTGGGGGCTGAGATTGGGGGTGATCGCCATGCTGCGTGGGGGCTCGGGGAGGATAAGATCTCGCATGGCGTTGCCACAATATGTTGTGGTTGTGGTGGCCTAGCCGAGCCCCGGAACTCGCAGGCATGCTATGTTGTAGAGGCGCTCCCGTGGTCGCGGGCCCCGATCAAGCTCGGACGTTCATGAGGGGCAAGCTCGCTTGCCATAGACGGAGATGGAGGTGCGGGGAGAAGGCCGGCGGGTAGGCGGCAAGAGAGTTCGGGCCGCATGGTGACTGTTGGGCGACAGCGGCGAGTTATCGCACGGATGTGGTTCAGTCAACACGTGCGATATGAGAGAGAGAGAAAGAGGGGTTTGAATTTAGATCTACTCGAGATCAAATAGGTTTTTTTAGGTAGGGCTAGATGCAAAACATGGGTTTTGAAATGCAAAGAAGGTATTCAATTCGAGCCGCGAAGTTGAAAATGGTATTTACAACTATTTTCATAATCTTGTGATTAATCAATTAAGTTCATCTCAACTTCCTCATTTCTTTAATTAGATATCTCGTTTTGTCGCCATTAGATATCACCTTTTTTCTTTGGCCATACCCAGACATTGCCTTCACAGCTTAGATCCAATTCAAGGGCCATGTTCCTTCTGACAAAAGTAGCTCGTGACGTGCATTTTTTTCAATTTAGTAAACGAGGATTAGGTGCAGATCTAATCATGCTTTGACATGGCATAATTAGCCACTAAATCATACCGACCGTCCTTTGGCGTTTTCCCTCTTCATCATTGTTTTTATGTCTTTGATTTGAGTGGATTTGGTTTGGTTGTCCTCAGTCTCTCCTTTTCCCTTGACATATAATAGAGCCCTTTTGACATTAATTCTGATTAATTAAGGTTCAAACCTTGGCTTAATGACACTTTTCGAGTCATTTTATATGCAAGCCGATAGAGTTGAATCTATCTAGACATTCAAGAATATAAATGGGCATGAAATGATAAAATAAAAAAAAAGGGTTTTTTCTTTGTTCAAACATAAGAATTTGTGGAGTTTGATTATCTTAATTGAAATTCATATGATCAACTTATTCTAAACTGTCATTATGGTGGACCCACTATGCATTCATGCATAAATTACATTTCCCTTATAAATATTTATACTAGAATACTTAATACCAAGTTCCTAAGTTGCAAAAAAATATGTAATGATATATACTTTTAAAAGTTACGTGGAGATAGAGTTGTCAAAATGGGTCACAAGCCCGTATTTTAACTCATGGGTCGGGTCATTTCCGACTTGACCCAAACCCGATCCGATTTGACGGCTCTATGTGGAGCCAATATTGCTAATTTTCTCTTTGATTAGAATGATTAGTAACTTATATTTGGAGCTCTAAGGCTAATTCAAACTGTGTTTCTCCTTCTCCAGGAACCTCAGAAAACCGAAGTACTTGAAACATTTCCATCAGTTCGACCTGCATTTCAAGAGACATGCGAAGGAGGGGAAGTTGCCGAACTACACGGTGATTGAGCAAAGGTACTTCGAGCTGTCGCATCTGCCCGGCAACGACGATCACCCGTCCCATGACATTGCCGAGGGGCAGAAGTTCGTGAAAGAGGTGTATGAAGCGCTGAGATCGAGCCCACAGTGGGACGAAATCCTGTTCGTGATTGTTTACGACGAGCACGGCGGCTTCTACGATCATGTCCCAACACCAGTGGAGGGCGTCCCGAGCCCAGATGGCATCATTGGGCCTGCGCCTTACAACTTCAATTTCCATCGTCTCGGTGTCCGAGTGCCGGCGATATTGGTTTCTCCTTGGATTGAGCCTGGAACAGGTTTGTACATAAACTTCATATGCTAAGGCTTGTAACGCTAGGGCTTAGTCATTTACTTGGTTACATTCCTTGACAATGTTGCATTCTCTCTTGCAGTGTTGCACGAGCCTTCAGGGCCATATCCCACATCCCAGTTCGAGCATTCCTCAATCCCAGCAACAGTTAAAAAGATTTTCAATCTACCGAATTTCCTAACAAAGCGCGATGAGTGGGCGGGCACCTTTGATGCTGTCCTGAACCTGAACAGAAGCGGTCCGAGAACAGATTGCCCAGGTGAACATGCACTGCTCAAACATCAAGTTTATAATCACTAGCAAAGCTGTTAGCTATACTAATTTCTTGCGTAACATGAGGAATAACATCAATCTTAACTCAAAAAAGCACGTCGAAGGCTCTTGGTGATCTCTAACGTGTTTCGAGCGACGGCTCTCCAGTTAACTAGAATCAACATGGTTAACATCGGTTCCTTACGTTCATTTTCGTTGTTACTCTTTTTTAGATGGTAATTTGTTTCATTCATTCGAGCAAAAGGCGATGGCCGAGCTCATAGAACTCCGACTAGACTTATACCGTCTTTGGTGAAAACTGCAGTGACTTTAGCTGATCCGGTGAAGCTGAGGGAATCAGGGACAAAGGAGGCAGCACAGCTCAATGACTTCCAAGAACAGCTGGTTCAATTGGCAGCGACCATGAATGGGGACCATAAGAAGGACATCTATCCACACAAGCTGGTGGAGAACATGACGGTGCTCGAGGCCGTGAAGTATGTCGAGGCCGCGTTCAAAGTATTCTGCAGCGAGCGCGAGGGAACCCCCGAAAATGGCTTGAACGATGCCGACGGTGTCAATCAAGCCGATGAATCGGCTCGGACGGCACCCAGGAGTTTTTTTCAGAGGTTGTTTTCTTGTGTGATTTGTGATCATTGACACTCAGTCGATCTATGTTCTTCCGAGTGCTGCGTGCAACCTCTTTATTGCGGTTGAATTCGATGTTTTGTCTCATCATCGATCATCGTATGAATTCCTTTTCGTTCATTGATTTATAATTCTACCTACGCTTAAGATTAAGAGTCAATATACTCAATTAGATTATTTTTAGGTTTATGTAATTTACCCTCCATCATGTTACCTTACTCTTACATATATGCTCAGTGAACTCAATTTCAGCAGAAAAATTACCCAATCAGTCCTAAATCTATTGAACGTATGCCAATTTAGTCATGATCTTTTTCAATTTTGTCAATTTAATCCTAAACCTTTACGCGAAATTCCAATACAATCATTCCAATCAATTTTCGCGAAAAATAGCTAACGAACATTCTAGATATTCGGTCATCCCATGTGGCGAAAATTGACCTAAATGACTACATTGAAATTTCGCGCAACATTTTTGGACTAAATTGGTAGAATTAAAAAGTTTAGAACTAAATTGACATACGTACAATAGGTTTAAGACCAAATTGGACAATTTCCCCAATTTCACACCTATGTGATGCAATTCTCAACCTTAAATGTGGCCTTGATCATTTTCATGGTGTTAAAGCATTTGTATCCTGTCGATTATTTCCAATCAGGTCACTTGAATCCATCAAGAACTCAACACAAATCTAAGAGTCATAGGCACATAGACTAATCACTCGTCTATGTCTACCTTATGTGGATTCATTCGAGACAAGTCTTAGTATACCTAGCATCGTCCTTTTGGAAATATAACTGTAATTTATTGGAGACGTACGACTACAAAAGATCGACGCTAATTATGATTTTACCAGGGGCCAATTGCACCAAAATGTACAAGAACCCCATGTAAAACTTGAATATTTTTGAAATACATTTACAAGACTATTACTGGCGGAAAATGCCGCAAGTGATAACGCGAAACCTCATTTACGGAAGTGAATGTTAATGGATGGCTGTGAGAACAACGTCTGTTGTATGGATAGAGCGAGGGGCAAAAATGGATGGAAGAGAAAAGAGGATATCTTTTTTGTCCGACCATCCGCGCTCCCAGCCTCCGGACCTAGTCGAAAGCCATGTCAATTTCAATCATTCATTTCTCTAATCTTAATAGTAAGAAAAACGAAATATCACAATCGAGAACTGGAATGGAACTACAGCCATAATTAAGCCTTGCCAAATGACGAAACATGCAGATGACGAAATTAAGACACCTCCCTCGCTACCTTGAATTTGATTATTACCAACTTAAATGTCCAATGTTGTCCAATGTAGTCAAAACGGTTCACCTGTTTTAATCTTGAACTTGAGTGTGCACGGTTGCCTTCTTGTAATGAACTTGATAGGATGGTCAGTTGACTGCCTGTGCCGATCAATTGCAGAGATCAACTGCAAGAAAAGGAGAATCAGACCAGTAGACAACCTTCCAGTCTAATGTTATAACATATGATGTCAATTGTAAGCAAACCAACCACGGAGAGTGGATCGCCTGAGAAGAGTAAAACCACTCTTGAATAGATAAATAAATAATATAAGCAAATGCATCAACTCTTCACCAGAAAGAAAAGAGTGAAAAAAAACTTAGCATATAGATGACTTAAGATCCTGCTACAGCTTTCAGTATGTATAGTAAACAGGATGAATTAAGTCGAAAATGTTGAACTGATGCCACCAGTTAATTCAACAACAGAATAATAAAATTAGGAAGCATAATTGCTAACGGATATATCCATGTGGAACCCTCAATATCGAAACCAACCGTGGAGGATGAATTGCGAAACTTATCTGATTCAAGTGCTTTCACTTTTGTGCCGAAATACTTTTATTCATCGTTTCTCATCACTTGGATGCAATCATGCCAAACTGAACTTATAAGTGTAAGAACTTACTATTTGAAACTCAAGAAAGCTCAACCAAGTTAGTAGTGGACTGAGAGCATGCGAAAGTCTCTATATACGCTATAAAACATACTCCAAAATGAAGAACTACTCAAATCTGTCAAAAGTTGAACGTGAGCATTGAATGGTCAGTGCTTAAAAGTCTTATAATACTTATCAACTTTCAACAGTTCATAGTCTTCCCATCATTGGTTCTCAGATTTCCTTTGATGTTCTATGGCTTAAAATTTCTTGGTAATGATCAAAGCTAGAGGTGGACAGAGTTGAAGCATCCACGACTAGGGTACGGATAAATGGAAAAACAATATCAAAGTTGCATAGAATTTTCTGTGTAACTAACTATTGTAGGCAGATCTTGCAACATTTTGCCATTGCTGACTTCCTCGGACACATGCTTAGCAAATCACAGGTGCAGCTTTTCTCTATGTTCCCTGAAAGCTACCTAAGGGAAAACTCCTAGCAATTACTCAATGTTAAAAGGTTCCATCATCGATGATTTGCTTCCGCACGTGTAAAACCGAGGATGGACATGTCAGGAATCTTCAATTACAAGGTGCTGTGACCCATATATGTAACTCCACAGGACTGCTAAAATGGTGGACCTCTACTGGTGAAAGACATGCTGCAGTAAAGAAATTGGATAGAGAATACCTAAGCTGATTACCATCTCTGAAAAGTTATACAATATAGAAACAGTATTGAAGGAGAGAAGCCATATATTGCCATGTTTAAGTTGACTGTCATATCTGTCGGATAAAATATATGAATATTCTTAGCTCCATACGCTAGGGATGCAGCATACTTGTTCTTCTTATTTTAGGGTGTGTGTGTTGGCAAGAAAACTTGAACTTGAAGACTCACAGACTTCAGCATCAAGCACAAGACAACAATTGGTCCCTCAGAACCCAAAAAAAGAACAAAGAGGAAACCTTATAATCAAGCAACTCCACCGGCCAAAATTAAACAAGCAACTCTACAGTCCACAAGATCCTCCACCTAAACTCACCCAATATGAATTCTCAGCATTGAAAGTGGGTCAATCTTGTGCAACTTAGAAATGCAAATTCGAACATCTAGAGCTTCCTTGACAACTGGTGAAGCTAGACCTCAAAATTTTGATGGTTTGCAAATTTGTCACAAAACCAGCCTCAAAGTGCAAGATTGAAGTTGCTTTGCACACATGGAACAAGACATGCATGTAGTAGGGCTAAAAACTAGAGAAGCTTCCAAGACAAACCTTTTCGTCATACCGGAAGAGTGATTGGTCAAAATAGGGAGAAGGACTTTGTGACTGACAGCTGAAGGGTAGAGAACCCAGCATCTTCTTCACAAACTGCAAGATGACAGTGTTACACTTTTATTAGGTTTCATTGTATTTTTTGTTGATGAAAGTCGACACTAATAAATTCTTTCTTGCGAAAACGGGTTTCAAATTTATCAAGGTTACTCGTAAAAACATGAGAAATTCCAAAAAATTAGTTCCTAACTGAAGCACTGATGAGGGTTCCACGTTTACTAATTGTCCTTATTTTATAGGTCAAGAGAAGCACTATGAGGGTGATCATATTGTAAATGTATCCAATCTAGAATCATTTCTATTTGACGCTTTACAAGAAAACAAATTTAAGATGACCCACAGGAGATATAAAATATTATAATTAACTGTGCACCAGCTTGGACAACTAACCTGTGTAAAGGTTGCTTTCTTTTTTATGCCTCTTAATTGCTCAAAAGCGTAGATGTTGTTCGAATGAGAAGAAATGAAATTCATGTGAAGTGAATTTCTTGACTGAGGGTGAAAATGATCACAAAACATCTCAAAGAAGAGATAAAGCTCCTCAGCTGAATTCTGCAAATGGAAAATTGAATCCATCAGCAAATAAGTTCCAATAGTACAATGGAAAGTGTTGAAAATTTTGAGACAAATAGTACCTGATAAAAGGCAACAATTTCAGTTGTCTCCATGTTATAAACAGCAAAGAAAGCGTGGTGCTGATCAGCGTTCCTTGACACCAAAAGCTTGAATAGAAAAAAAGTCAGGAGATCTAGTCCTATATCTTCTGTATCACAAAATACTTTCTCCAATTAAGAGAAGGAAAGATTAGAATCTTAAAATGAAGAAACTCAAAAGTCTACAATACAGTAAGCCAAAATCAGTGAAATCAATTACACCATCTGACATGGATTAATAGGAGCTGCACTCATTGAACATAATCGGTGTCTCATCTTATTTGATTCTGAACTAGCGGAAAGGAACCTTAAGCAAGAATAGTTTTTGGGCTCCACATGGGTTCAGATGCATCGCAAGGTGGTATCCGTGTAAATTTTTTTTCCTTATTTCCAGCTTAAGATGCATCCTTATCTTTACCTTAATTCCAGCTTGAAGGTCATTAGGGACCAGGCACTGTGATTAATATCTCTACCATGATTGTAGTCTTGGATTTATTGTGCTATATTTTTTAGCTATAACAAGTTGCTAAAGCAGTTTTAGAAAAAAGTGAGACCTACCCCTCCATCCACGCTCCCAAACTTTATTAGCAAATGGTGCCTGTCCAAAAACTGTACCTGTCCAAAAAATATTTAAGAGCAAGAATTAAGACAGACACAAGAGCAATGTCCATGTGGATCAAGGGCAAAGGGATGTAGTAAAATCATCCTGTCAAAACTTCAGATCTTACCTTCCAGATTATCAAGTCAACATAATCTTGGAAATGGAAATAAAATTTCTTCTTCAAGGATTGAACTCTCTGATCCAAGAAAAAAAGTTCATTAGAACAAGGACCATCATAGTATGTTGATATCAAAGAACTATGATGAGCCCCTTCTAGTAGCATTTAAGCAAGTACTTCTATTAGAAAGAGGGAAGGAAATTGAGAAAGATAGCAAACTGAGTTCACTACTGATAACATATGCTTGGCATACATATCCAAACATTAAGTTTTGATACTAAAGCTTCCGCTAATAAATTTTGGATTAGCCTACGACTCACTCAAGATGCTATTGATATACAAGAAGAGCTTCCTTCAAGCTCTTGAATCAGAAATATACAGAATCTATTAGCTGAATGGACTAGATACAGTGTGTTTCCTATCCAAAACTTCCAACATCTTTTTAATTCAGCATTTTTTTCATCTAAGCCCAAGGTAGCTTGATAATACTATTCCATATGGATATCTTTGATTCTCGGTTTAATAGAGTCTCGTAAGAGAATTTGCTGCATTTTGCACTATAGATGCAAAATGAATGACAGATTCTTGCCTCTCTCGCTATATGCAGAGTCAGTAAGTGATTAGGAGGAATGTGGCATGTGACTATAGCTTGTGACAGAGAGTGGGGCTACACTGAGATATATGACATGGATGGATATTTTGGGCTCTCATATAGGATTGGAGGTAAGAAACCAATCAGAGCCCTTGCCTTCATTTTCTAATTTTTATCTTCGTATACGGCAAAGGAGCAAGCTTTGTCTACTATAGATACAACCCGAAGAAAGAACCGCTCTCCATTGTGGCAATTAAATGTCCTTGAATTGCAAGAGACACAAGATACAATAGATACAAGAATATTACCGCCAGCCAGTGTCAAAATACTCCAAATAAAGCCATTTTAGAACTTCAAGTCCCCACAAATTGCATTGAATTGCTTGTCTTGGATAGATACCCCCACCTAGTAAACACCTCGACACACGTAATTATAAGAAAGTTTGATTTGTATTGCCTTGTGCCCCATGTAGACCAGTCAAAATGGGTTATTGAACCATTTCTTAACCCATATTTGATAGGCTGAGTTGTTATATGGATAGTTATATTTAGTAAATGGGTCATAAATGGGTTTAGAATGGTAAAACCCAAACTAATATGGGTGTTAGATGGGTTCACAACTTACTTAGACCCAGCCCACCTCTATGACTCTTTCTTCACTCTCTCTCGCCCTTACTCGATCTAACACTTGCTCGCTCACTCCACGCTCTCACTTAGTTTGGGTATGAATTTTCTAGACGTGGTTAAATATGAAAGAGTTTTAGCAATATGGGTCGGGCCGGATATGGGTTGGGAATGACCAGGTCGGTATGGGCCACTAGATTTCCATTACGTGGAAATGGATCAAAACAAGTTAAATGGGCCAATGCAGGTTGGACCATTTTTGAACCGAGCCACCCATTTGATGGGTCTAGCTCCATGTGCTAGCAATCTAAATGGTTTCTGGACCACATTGACAAGCATGACGGGGCTGCGGCAAGTATATAGAGTGCATCTCTCACAGCTGCTGACTGTAACTGGGCAAAACCACAATGGATTAGTGGGCTAGGGCCTCAATGGCAAGTGATCAGCATAGAGAAGATCTACAAAGCTGTTTAATGAAATTGCCACGGATATGCCACCTACCAAATTTATGGACCACTCCCATATCCCAACAGCAGTATAATAAGCAAGCTAATGATCAGAAAACAAATCCAGGAACTTACCAGGATATCATCAGATTCTTGATTCCATACTGCTCGGAAAATAAATGACAGCAAGCGTTGCTTGATGCCACTTAAAAAAGAACTGTTTTGATATAGCTGGTTTTGATGCGCATGGGTCTCCACATGATTCTCTGAGTGATGCAGTTGACTTTGGTCAGAAACTGGCATATACTGCCATCAACAGTAATAATATTAGTTGAGACTACGACCTTAGATGACAAACAAGACCAAAAAAATGGAACAAAACCAACCAAATAGGGAACAGCCTTGGAATTGAAAAGCGACCAAGATTTAGTAAGTTCAGAACTCAAATACTCATAATTTCAAAATAGCAAACCATATCATCTTTTACGCAATTGTAATGGGACCTCTTCAGGATAAAGTTATCTACCGACAAGTTTTATTGGTGGTCTCCAAAGCGACCAAAGATCAAAGAGACCGTGTCCAGTGGACTAGCTAGCATAAAGACAAGCATAAAGAGATAACTAAAGAGACCATACATCCATATGGATCACATTTCTTTAGCCAATGACCCATAGTGCGAAAACAGAGAACTCCATTAGAAACGCAGGACATTTTTTGTACAATTTACTAGCAGTTCCCTCTTACATTTCAGTTCATTCAATAAAGTTTTATCCATCAGAAAGAACATTAAAGAGTAGAATTGCTAATAAAATTAAAATGTACTGCCTATTCTGTAGACTTCCCCACTTCCTCGCCACGGTGGCTTGACACAATTGACAGGACTATATCGCATCCTTTAGAACAACATAGAACATTAGAAAAATCTTCTAAAAAAACAAAAGCAAACGAGCTAGCTTAGCAAAAGGATAACTATTCAACGAGCGCATAACCACATCAGTAATCTTGCACAAATTTGATATCGTAAAGTGATATATGCTCACAATATTCCAACAGAGGATGTTTGCTACCAAATGAATATAGTTTTAAAATGTAGTCTATCCTACTAAATGTATTAAGGTCCAAGCTTGTGAGTGACAGTCAAATTTCTTATGTCAAAAAGTAATTGTTCTACTGCATTGGTAACCAGATATTACTCATGCAATCTTGTCATGTGTCATGTGAAGTACTGCATCTACAAGCTATAAAGGGTGGATGCTGCAGCTCGTTTTCTCTCCTTGAACCGGACAAGCTTAAGGTTAATAAAAATGTAGCCCATGCACACCATAAACAACAGAATGGAGAAGTCCACTTGCCTGGGCATTGGAATTGAGGAAAAGTTCATCATCTTCACGACAGAATTTTCCAATAGCTCGTACATCAACTAGGTTCCCAGAGTCTCGAATTTGTAGTATGTGGATTGTTTGAAAGCGAAGAGAAACAATAGCCAGTAGATCATCATACAAGAAGACTCCCATGTTGTGGCTCAAGTTAATAAAATCATTGTGAAAAACCTTCTTATCCAGTACATCTCCATCTTCAAGTCTATCCAAACCAGAAAAAGCCACCAAAGAAAGAAATTAAAAAACTTCATTCAGAAAAGCTCTGCAAGGTTTGACACCAGAGACTTCATATCTTAACGAACCCACCTTAAGAGGTGAAAAGTTATATTGTCTATTGAGGGGATCCCAGGGACAGCTTCCCCGGATGAAGGTGCATCATGAAGTGGAGCAGTAGAAGTAACAAAGACCCCGAAGTGATTGCTCCCCAAGTAAAGAAAGAAGTCTTTGCATATGAGTTCATTGTTAGAAGCAAGTGAGACAGAGTACAGTTCAGTGAAAAAACTGTCGAATCTTTTTGCTTTCTGGGGGAGATCATGCATGCAGTTCTCTTCTTTGCAACAGAATGATGGCCATCTTGGTCTATATACTATCAAATCTTGATTATTCCGGCTGAAACTTATGAGATAATGACCATCTTCAGTGAATTTTCGAAATGAATGATCTGGACATTCAATGTCATATATAGTGTGGCTTGGGACCAAATTCTCATAAAATAGTCTAGCACAGTGAACCTGCAAGGTGCAGATTTGATCAGTTTCATCTTGACGCAACCACATGCATTTTATGTCAATGGCCCAATCATGGCTCCCAGAAAGGACAAATACTGGTACAAGCCACAAAATTCGCCATGTCCAGATGTGATTTTTGCTGTAACTATGGAACATATTCAGTACATCATAACAATATATCCGACATAAATTGTGTATCCTACTTGTTCCACAGACTAGAATTACACCAAACGGCATGCTACATGGACAACCAAAAGAGCAACATGCTACTAGCACCCTGATCATCATTTATTATATCCTACTTCACAATGGAAGGAAGGCTTCAAATTTGAGGAAGTTCAGTTATTTCTATTCTGTTAATGCTCTCACTTGCTATTACAATTTGTATATCCAAAATAGCACAAACGCGCCAATGAAACTCGAATAACAGTCACTGATGTAGATTTTTATCATCCCACTTGTCTCCCTGTTCTCCCTCTATCATGCAGAATCACTCACATCAGTCGACTTTCGATTTTCTTCTGCACACAATGCATATACATGAACTTCCATTACCACAACATGGAACTCTAAAAAGTTTGTTACTCGACTAATTGAAGCATTACTCTACTAAATCAAGGCACACACAATTAATTTGCGGAAGAACCAAATTTGCATGCACCATGTCGATATAACATCGCATAAAGTACACAAGAGGATATTTTCTGCTCTACAAGCATCAATCGTGCCAACCGACCGCACGGCTGATTAGAGCCGGAAGTCAATATAATATTGACTATTCAAAAGTCAATGCAAAACCCTGTCGGGACATGGTCTAGCACGATAGTTCAGTATGTATCAAGCTCACTTCCATTGAACTAACAGCGATCAAATGTTTCCAGCTTCCAGAGACCTAAATTAAGCAATTCCTCCATCATTTCTTCCTTTAAGTAAGATAGAAGTTTGCGCACATTCCTGATAGCACATTATTCCAAGAAGGAGCCCCCAAAAGTCAGTTCAGCAAGAGCTTGGCAAATTCGCATAAAATTCGATTCAGAGCACATAAAAGAACTGCCAGAACCGGAAGGTCCCCAACACAGACGAACAAGCACAAGCAACAACGAAGATCAAATTGTTATGAAAAAGTACAGAGGAGTACACTAGTGCCGGGAGCAGGAGTCCGAATCTGCCGCTCGAAAATCCTCGCAGCTACGTTGCTGCTCCTAAACATCCCAACCGAACCAGCCGAGTACCGAGCAATGCGCCGTCGCGAGACCCAAGAACTCCTCCGCCTTCTCCAGCTTTAACCCTGACCGACCCGCCAAGCGTGCGTTCACACAACCCACCAAGGCGAGCAAGAACCAACAAAACCCGCCCTCCAAAATCCACGGAGAGCGAGAAAACACGGCGACCCGGGATCAGAAACCCGCAAACAACAGCAACCGGGTCGCGGCGGCGGCGGCCCGCGACTCGACGGCGGCTCCGCCGAGCGACCCAGAAGACGAAGAAGAACAAGAAGAAGAAGAAGAAGGAGAAGGAGCTTGGAGAGGTCAATTTGGGAGCTTCGCGAGCGCGGCACAAGGGTTGGGAGCTTCGCTCATCTGGATCATGGAGATATACGCGCGGCCTTCATGGACACACATATATGCGCGCACGGTTTTGGGAGAGAGAACGGAAACGAGGAGGAGGAGGAGCGAGCGAGCATGGCCATGGAAGGTTTCTGGGGGAAACACTTGGCACCGTGCGCGCTCACACACTCGCGACTGTCGACTCCGACATGTTGATAACGATGCCAAACTGACGAGACATGGGGGGCCTCCAAAAAGAAAGAGAAAATGCAAAAAAAAAAGAAAAAATAAGAAAAGGGAAATACTTCGATATAAAGAATTATTTTTGTTAAGAGTTGATATAACGAAAAACTCTAAATTGATGCATCCGTTATAAACTGAACCCCAAATTGATACGTACGTGGCAAATTTACCCGTGTTAAATTTTATCGCCGAATTGCTGAGCTGAATGATACGTGGCAGTTGACAGGTGTATCGGTTTTGGATTTTGCCATCCGTTTGTCACATGTGTACTGGTTTGGGGTTTTATGTGTGGTACTAATTCAATTTAACGGAAACTAACGGAAGGTAAATTTGTTACGGGTGTATCGGTTTAGAGTTTTTGATGGTCAAAAAATTAATTTAATGTAAATTTGTTTCAGGTGTACCGATTTGGGGGTTTTCCATGGTATTAACCTTTTTGCTAATGATTTATAAGTGAATGGTATTAACAATTGCCCTTAGAGTATTGGGTCAATGAACTTAATTTGAAATAAACAAGTATTAGATGAAGGAAAATATTGAGCCTAATCACGATCAATCCATCCTTAGAAGTATTGCTTTCTGCTAACAAATCCATACTCCCCTCATGTAAAAATTTTCGCCAATACGTTCAAAATCCGATAATTAGAATTATAAAAAAGAACAATATTGCATATTCGATATTTATTAAACGGGTGTCTGAGAAATCGGACAATAATCGACGAGATAAACGAACGATGGCATTGAAGTGCACATTACATCAAATATAATAGAGCGTGTTCTTTTAACCAAGTTAGACACATAAAAATATGTTGAGCTTCATTCGTCTTAAACGAAGACCACATCAGGAAAAGAGCCTCAAAAATCACATATGCCATTAAATAATAATTGGTCACCTACAAAATAAGCGGAAACAATCAACGTAAAAAAAAAAATCACTCACATTAGTGCCAAAAGTGATCATTTTGAAAGTTTAATGATGATATAAAAGTTGTGCACTACACCGTTTTATTTTGGGACCATAACTACATAAATTTTTTTTTACCTATCTGGCCAATTTTCCTAGTTTATTCTTCTATCTAGAGATTCTTTAAGGAGAATATGAAAAATTGCGCATAAGATATTTGGTAACCTCATTAATTTTGCTTTGGAAATGTACATATTTCTAATTGAGGAAGTATGTGGTCAATTCTCAAAGTGTATTGACACGCGCTATTTCTATCTCTAGTGATTTTAATTATTTCTTTTAGGATACTCGAAAATAATATCGATTTTTTTTTGGGATAACGACACGAATTGTCCATGAAGTTGGGCCCGATATACGATATGGTCCCTGAACTTTAGTCTAATATTTAATGAGGTCCTCGAATTTTTAATTTGTTTAAGTCCTTGCTCTTAAATTAATTGAAAGACTACACTATTGAATATTTTCGTATAGTTCACGGACTAAATTAAATATATACCAAAATTTCAGAGATGACACTGGACAAATTAAAAGTTCAGGGATCACATTGCACATCGGGTTAAAGTTCAAGGACCATATTGAACAAATTAAAAGTTCGTGGACTATTTGCGTCATTTTTTTTTAAATTAAAGAAAATAAAGATCAAAGTGACCTCCTTTGATCGCTGACGTCACCACTTCGGCGTGGCCCAACTGCGTGGTCGCTCCGGCACTAGAAGCTTGAAGCTGACGACCGCCGCTGAAAAGCCTCTCGAGCGTCGCCGCCGAGAACACAAATGCTCCGATCACCCCGATCCCGGCGGCGGCCCCGCTGCGGCGCCCACGCCTGCGCCCTGATCTCCGCTGTCCTCCTCCTCCTCTCCGTCTCCCTCCTCTACTCCCGACTCTCCTCCGCCACCTCCGCCGCCTCCGCCGCGGACGCCGTCTCCGGCCGCGTCCTCTCCGATCCCGCCGCGGAGTCCGTCGATCGGCTCGCCGAGCAGCAGCTCGGAGGGGACGACAAGATCGACGAGCTCGACATCGTCGAGGAGGAGGAGGAGGCCGATAGGGGCGGCGCGGCGAATTCGCGGTGGGAGAGCGAGGACCAGGGCGAGGACGACGACGACGACGAGGAGGCGGAGGCCGATCGATCGACGGCCGCCGATAAGAATTACTTCTACGATCACGCGACGGGGTCCATACGTCGAGCGTTTAGCAAGCGCTCGATCGACGAGTGGGACTACGATGGCTCGGTTTTAGGTGTGGGATCGATTCCTGATGATCGCAGTAAGACGGCGTTTGGATCCGATGATATGCCGGTGGACGAGGGTTTGAGGAGGAAGGTGACTGAAGTGACGAGCGTGGAGGATGCTCTCCTGTTGAAGGTGAATAAGAGGGTTTCGCCGCTGAGGGAAGGGTGGGGCGATTGGTTCGATAAGAAAAGCGAGTTCTTGAGGAAGGATAGAATGTTCAGGTCCAGTCTGGATATTTTGAATCCGTCGAACAACCCGATGTTGCAAGATCCGGATGGGGTCGGCGTAACCGGGTATACCAGAGGGGATAGGTTGGTGCAGAAATGGTGGTTGAACGAATTCAGGAAAGTGCCGTTTTCTGTCAAGAAGCCATTAGGGATCTCAGAGGATGCTCGAGAAGCGCGATTGCGAGAAAACAATGATGTGGCTAGTAGTAGGAAGACTGGTAGTGCAATGAGTCAAGATAGTGAATTTGAAAGGAGAGGTGAGATTAGGAGGGCGGAGCGACGGACATTAGATGACAATATGAGGAATGTATCCAATAGTGTTGTGAAAACTGATGGAAGTGAGGCTAATGGACGTGGTGACAGCAATTTGTCTGGCAAAAATAGTCAGAGTGCAGCAATTCAAGAGAATAGGAGGAGTTCAGAAATTGAAGGTCATGTATATGCAGATGGAAGGAGATGGGGTTACTACCCTGGCTTGCATCCAGGGCTATCATTCACAGAATTTATGAATGCATTTTTTAGAACGGGTAGATGTCACTTAAGAGTTTTCATGGTGTGGAACTCGCCACCATGGATGTTTAGTGTTCGACATCAAAGGGCACTGGAGAGTCTGCTCTCACAGCATCCAGATGCTTGTGTTGTTGTGTTCTCAGAGACTATCGAGCTTGATTTCTTCAGAGATAGCTTTCTGAAGGATGGGTAATTGCTCAAGTTCACATTACTTTTCTTTTTCTAGATGAACTTTTGCTGGATAGATAAGCATAGGTATCTGATCAATTTTAAACAATAAGCATGAAGTCGCTTCTTACTTGGTTCAACTAGTTATTGTTGCTCTATTGGGAGTTTGCATTGCATTGGTTGTCTTATCCTACTGGTGATAATATGGGCCAAATAAACCCGAGTTCCCAGGCATCTGTTGGCTCATCTGAGTAATCTGTTGTGATCCTGTGAGAGCAGATTTGTGTTAAGTCTGTTTTGTCTTGATTTGAAGTTTCTTTATAGGAATGATCTCTGGGTTTGTGCAGTTTGTCCAGACACACCTCTTATTTCTACAATTAGTTGACTTCTGTTTTGGCTTAGATATCGTTCTGGTTAACCGAGCATAGGGAATTTCTTTACTATAGTTGTTCCTCTATGGTGGCTCTTTTTTCGCTTTATCATTGCGGTTCTTGGATTGGGACATAAGTAAGCTCACAGCCTCACACATCTAATTTGAAGTGCCTGATGGTTTCCAACTGACTGCTTGCTTTCAATTTGGTAGATACAAAGTTGCTGTTGCCATGCCAAATCTTGAAGAATTGCTGAAAGATACGCCCACATTCATATTTGCTTCTGTCTGGTTTGAGTGGAGAAAGACGAAGCTTTATCCTACTCATTTCAGTGAGCTCATCCGGCTTGCTGCTCTTTACAAGTAGGTTATCATCAACTTAAATATTTCTATTCCTCATGGAAATTTTCACAAGTTGCCTCATTTGAATTAGATAATAATTAAGGACTCCCAATGTATTCAGTAGTTCATGCGAGTCCTTTTGATGATATAGTTTTGTTTGCAGAATGCGCTGTTGCTATATCACAGTGTGTACTTGACAAGTGAGATTTCAATGTGCTCTGGTGATTAGAATGTGTCATTTATGTGATATAGATTATGTCCAGCAATGCTGCATGTGTAAGTGAAAGCTCTACAGATGATTCTACGATTAACTTAGTTTCTCCAAAAGTGCAAATTACTAAAGACAATCGTATCAAAATATTATTGAAATATGAGAAATATTCAAATTAGAACTCAGAAAGAATCTGTAAAAACACCAGTAAGCAGCCAGCTCTAGGCTTTTTTTGTTTTTATTTGCTTATGTTTTTAAATTCTTGGGATGTGCTCTATTGAAGTCCCTTTTGATTATCTGAAAGTAGAACTAGCTTTCTGAAATCATTCCCAAAGATTGATAAAAATTTGGTAAAGAATCAGGCTTCAAAATAATTGTTGAACTTATTAAGATGGTCTGCCATAATGAATTAAGACCTTCGGATGTCCCACTGAGAAGGTGTGAAAAAGGGATGGAGTTTCGGGGTAGAAGGGCAGGGGAAGACGTAGAAAGATGTTAAAGGAGACAATAAGGAAAGATATATTTAAAGAGCACAATAGAATAGGATTCATACACTTGACATTGCTTAGTGGAATAAAGCTTGGTTAGTTGATGTTGTTATATGAAGGTAGGAATCTGGTAGTTTGGAATTTCAAGGGGACTATTCTGGACCGAGAGATACCCCCTCCTCTCTCTCTCTCTCTCTCTCTCCATGTGCACGTGCGCTTGTGCGTGTCCGCTTCGTGTTGGTTTGGGGGGGAGAGATCTGCTGCATGAATAGCTAGCTTCAGAAAGTTATTAATATTGCCATGGTTTGCATAGTGGTCTTATTTCGAACTGATCTCTAAGGTGGATTGATAATCTACAGAAGAGTTCTCTGAGAACTTGGAGTAAATAGTTTACTTAGCTTGACATTATCTGGTTATACTTGTGCTTTCAACTTCAATTTACACATTTTGTTTCTCTATGTGGTCTCTTCAGTTCTTTTTTAGTACAGGCAGCAAATTCAACTGATCTGTTTAAACAGTATATTCCTTCCTGGTGATTACATCTTTCCAAATCTTAAGTTTAGCTAGTTATATCGCAAATTTTTCTTCCTAAACAACACTAGGCTAAAATTTTTCTGAATGGTATATCAGTATCCGGTTCTATTTCTAGCTTTAGCTTTTCAATATTTTCTGCTTTTGGTATTGGAAGTTCAAAAGCAGTTGATGAGATATGAGATTGTTAACTCAAAAGAAATAATTCTATCAGAGATGAGTAAGGGTGGTCCCTCTATGGTGCAATTCTTATCCTCAAGAAATTGAATTCAACTGTGCTATTGGGAAGTGTGCCCTTTAAAATCACTGTACTAGTTGGCTCTAGGCTACTCTATTAGTGTGGGGAGACATCTGCATTAGCAAAATTGGCATCTGTATGGGCTTGCATATCAGCTAGGCATTCATTACTGTTCTTATTTGCCGATTTTTTACTTACTCCTTCATGTTCGTAAATAGGCTGATACCCATAGAGTAGTGAAGAATGTATTCAAGGCTGCATTCATGGATAAGTAATTCCTTTTTAGATAGCTAAGTTCTTACGTGTCACCCACAAAGAAGATCAACTTCCTTTGCAGGAGTGAAGCTTCTCATAGTCATCAAGTATTTCTTGTCTGAGAATTGCTTTAAATTATTAGCCTCGGTATAAGTCTCTATATTCAAGGACTTACCTCTAAGGTGGGAGTTTTCGGATTATCTTTTCCATGAGTGCCATGTTTGTCCTTGTTGGCTTGCCAACAACAGAAGGGGTTCTAGTTATCTTAGCAATCAGCTTAAGGAACTTGTTTGTTTCTGGTTTGCTTGCTTAATGACCATGACGATACAATTCTAAGGTCTTAATTTGGTACCATTCTTTCCCTTGTTGTATTGGCCTAGCAAGAACAGCTGTCCGCCTTCGTGAATGTTTTATACTATTTTGACTGATGCAAGGGTTTATTCATATCCTTGGTGGACTTTCACATATTACTTAGAAGAAGTAAAGGCTGTTGTGAATAATACCTTTTTGGATGGTGGGGGAGAGGAATGGAAGACTGAGTGGCCCATTAAGGGAAAGAAAGCAGTATAAGCAGAGTTTTCCGTAGGTGCTTAGCACTTTGCCATGCTGATTGTATAAGACGTGCTTTGTCTTTAATATCTCTTGGTTGATTTCCCAATGCTCGATTTTTTTATTTTACTCAGATATGGGATCGTTAATGTTCTGTCATATTTGTAAATTGCCATGAATAATTAATTTCGACATACATACTTTCGTATCTTTGTTCTTTTCTCTGCAGATATGGTGGAATATATATTGATTTTGATGTCATTGTGTTGAAATCACTCTCTTCTCTCAACAACACTGTTGGTTTGGAGAGTCAGCTTGATCGACAGTCTCTCAATGGTGCTGTAATGGCATTCAGAAGGCATAGGTACTTCTTGTTTCTGGCCATGGAAGCATTATGCATGTGCTGTCAACTGTGATTATAACTTGTCATTTTGTAGATTCTGCTTGTGTTTCTTTTGCTCACCACTGATAGATGCTTTCACCAAATGACTTTTATAACTGAGGTATACAATTTTTTCTCTTCTTTCATCATGTATTTTATATTGTAAGAATATTCTACTTCCTTGGGCAATACCATTACTATTTACAACAATTGTAAGTTCTTTCTTGCATGATTTTGACGCCGCATCCCCACCTCCACAAAAGAATATTTGTGTTAAAGGTGTACAGGATTGGCTTTCTCTTGTTGCTTGTAAACTGAAAAGGATGTCCTTAAATAAAATGAAAGGAGAGCTGCAGTGTGTATCTGCTTATTTTGTATTAGTATATATTGCTGATGGCGTGCATTAATTCTTTATTTATTTTTTGTGTTACTCTATGCCGAGTCATCAATTGCTAATCTACCCTTGCAGTCCCTTCATAATGGAGTGCTTGAGGGAGTTCTACTCGGTGTATGATGATACCCAGTTCAGATGGAATGGGGCTGATCTTTTGACAAGAGTGGCAGAAAACTTTTCAAGAATTGGGAGAAGAGAAGTTGAGCCGCTGGAGCTGAAAGTGCAACTGTTCTTCGTCTTCTTTCCTATTAGTAGCCAAGATATTACGAGGTATCTCTTTTCTTTGGTGTATGATTTTTTTTGTTGGAAGGATCTATATTTATGCCGAAGCATGTAGCACCAGGAGCCTTGTGGGCCTTACTTGACCCAATTGCATAATGATTTTGTCGTCCACATAATTTTGGGTGCAAGAAAGTCGTGGCCTCATGTCAGACCATGTCAGACCTCGTCTTAATGCATAAGGTCACTTGGATGTATGATTCAAAGTTGTGAACATCGTAATATACAAACTATGTGAGACCATGAGAAAATATCCCAAGCTGATTGCCATAAAATGAAGCAGAATGTATTAAGGATAAGTTACATTACCAGCTATAGTTAAGTGATAGGACATGGGGTATGGTTATTGCTGAAAGCCTGACCTTCATCTCCTTCTACTCAAGCTTTTTTGTCTGCTATACATAAGTTTTGTCTTGCCATGTGGAGGCGTTGTTGTTGAAGGTGGACTGTACCGCTGAATATTTTAGGGCTAGTTGATTGAAAATTGGAAAAATAAGAAATCTAAGAACTTTGAATGACTGAAAGTGTCAACACGGATGGTCCGGTTATTATGTCACTGTTTGGAAGGATGCTGAGATAACTATTACTTATGATAAACAACCTGCTCTCTTATCTTCTGCAATCTGCACCACTTGTAAGAGACAGTAAAAGCAGTACTTTTTTTTTTGCCTGTGACGAGGATTATAATCCTTATGGATGTGAAGTTCATCATTTCCTCCTCGACGGTAATGAGTATGTGATTGGTTTCCAGCATCAGCTGCAAATTGAAATAGATCAGCCCAATAGAAGCAAAATGCTTGATCCGTCATTAGATTATGGATCCCAAACGAGAAACATTCCACACAAGACAGTAGAGGAAGTGACAACTAGATATTGCTCATGTCAGGAGATGAGGAGTTCATTTTTTAAATTACAACAGTCAGCTAATTATTTGGGGGTTTGTTCAGAGAAACCCCTTGTCTATGCATATAAAATCTTCTCAAAACTTCAATTAAAAAAATTGAACACCATCACAATTTGATTGGTGTGGCTAAAGGAAGCATTAGGCATTTATAGGCAATCTGAAGTGATGGGATGTCTAGATAGGTTTCAGTTGTATTGACATGATTGAGAGAGAAGGTGCAAAAATAATGTCTACCCTGTATGCATGATGAAGTTGGATTTTTCTGGGCTTAATAATAAATTGGGCTTGATGGAGTACGATGAAAGCTGTCGAATCTAAGTAGATGGCTTTCAGGATGCTTGCTTCAAATGGTCTTCTTTTAGCCTTTGTTTCATGGGGAAAAATACGTGCATTTTCATGAAAATTTGCAGCAAGAGATTATTAAATTGTTAATCCTGGCAATTGGAGATGTTGATTTCCAGCAACTTGAACCAGGAATACTGATTGTGATAGCACCTTTTTTTTTTTTTGGTTGAAAATTGTGATAGCACCTTGAGTATGCCTCTGTCGTACTGATTGTATGATAGAGGCATGCGATCTTTCAAACTTGAACCAGCAAAAAAATAATGTTGGTTACACCCTCTTGGTAAATACGCTACGTATCTTCACATCTATTAATTAGTTATGACAAGAACACAGGCACATAGTTGCGCATACATGTCATTTCTGTGCCAGTCTTGTTCAAACGTGCACATTAGATCTGGTATAAACAACTCTTTACTTGACTGCTGATGCCATTTGAGTTGTTTCCTAAGATCTTTTTTTTTTTTTCATTTTTTTCTTTTAGACCATATAGAGCTTGATGTTTTCATATCAAAAGCTTGTCTGCCCTTAAATTGACCTTTGTGAGCTGTAAACAGATACTTTGTTGCTCCTTCAACGGAAATTGAACGTGGACAACAAGATTCTCTCTTCAGAAAAATTCTGGATGAATCCTTGACATTTCATTTTTGGAACAGTGTTACTTCTACTCTAGTTCCTGAGCCAGGAAGTCTTGTAACCAGGCTAATTGACCACAGATGTATCCATTGCTTCGATGTATTGTGAAATAGACCCAATTTTTCCTCAAGTTAATTGAAGACTTCAACTAGCATCTGAATTGGCTAGAAGCATTCACTAGTCAAATGCTGAGAAGATTCGGGTTTTTTGCTCTGATATGTGGCCCAGTTTTTGGTTAAGAGTAGGGGTTATGTATTTCTTGTCTTAATGACGACGAAAATTCCATGAAGAACAGGGGTTACCACCTATAGGACCGGCTTCAGAAGGTAGCTGACCATATTCAGAATTATGTTAAGGGGGCATATATGCTGTTGTACAGTTATTATCCATGTTAGAATTTTTCCATTTCTTTTCCTTATCAGTGCTTGTACAAATGAATTAGTAGGAAAATGGAAACAGTGGTTCACCCCTATTTATAATGGAAAAAAATGTTCTTCCCTTGAAATTGATATTTACTGTTGCTATCTACGGTGATCATGTAGGATTGTGTATGCTATCTTCGTTGCTATATCAGTAATCATATCATCGAGGCATCTGCAATTATCCTGTATTTTCAAGAAATGGACACCGAGCAAGCATGTGTGATTATGCTTTTGTTTACAGCAAGTGTATGTGCTTGTCCCCTCCTGCGATGTTTCACATGTTCAGGGGGACATCTTTGTTTCTGTTGCTTGGTACACAAAATATATCAGAAGCGCAAGGAGACCTACATCTTCAGCAGTCACTTTGGACTAAGTCCTCGTTCTCGTTGGAAACTTAAGTCCGATTTCATTTTCTAATGGAGGAAGCTGCATAATTGTCGTCATTTAGTTTCATTGGAACTCAAGTCCAATTTCATTCTCTAACGTATTATGCTGCATAATTGTTCTCATTTGGTTCAACGACCAAATGAGGATTAGGCATCTGTAGAGTATGCATTCTTGTGCTCAGGTTCGTTTCTCAGGTGATTTTACAAGGGGAAGTATGAGAGGCGGTCTGCATATGACAGTAACTAGGAACATTAGCTACTAGGTGGGTACTCTCCTGGACTGCCTTGCAGTAGTTTGGGCCATGCTGGAAACCTCGTCACTGGAGTAGTGAAGCTCGGTCAACATTAATATTTACTTCAAAAACAAGAAACTAATGGAGTTACAACAAGCGATAGCAACTGTACTATTACAGTAGAAGCAATAGATAGGGAACTGCACTAGTGAGTTCATTTGTTGTAGGAGGATGATGCTGTAAAAGCACTGTTTCTCCGGATTCTCACCGTCGAAAGAAGCAAAGACGGCAAATTTCATTGAGCTGCTACAGTCACAAGGCGTGCCAACGCAGCCTGGTTCTGTTCTGGCGTCGCGGTCTCCGCAAGCCATGCCGGTCTCCGGACATCGACAGTGGGAGTGGGAACTCATTCATGAAGTCATCATGTACCCATCTCCACAAGTCAACCTCCTCAGTCCAGAGCATTGGGTCCATAGCATCTCCTGCTCACGGGGTTCCACACCCACTGCACCAGGTACTTCCTCCCCTTCACTCCATTGAAGTTGTACCCACTCCCCCATGAGTTCTTGTTCACCGCCCCCACATACCCTCCGCCCCCACCACTCCCATACACCCCCAGGCATAGGTCAGCGATCTCGGTCGGCGCTGTGGGGTCGTCCCCTGCATACCACGCATTCACGAGCGGGTTGCTCGAGACCTCAGCCAGCTCGTGGGCAATCACGCTGATCATCCCGTCCGCCCCCATCCCCGTTCGGTGGCTTCATTATGTCGTTGCCCCCGTTCGTGCTCGGCGGCGGCCTTCCCGAGTACTTCGGCCAGGCAAATGGGTAGGCGCAGATCCCGGGACACTGCATCCCACTGTAGCCGACCCACGCGTAAGGAACGGTAACACCAACGATCGTGGGGAACGTGAAATAGTGGAACCCGCACACGGCGCGGCAGAAATCCTGGACTTGGACGTCAGCGGAGGTGAGGACTAAGTAGAGGCCATTGTGAGGATTGAGCGGCAGAGCGTGTGGATCTGAAGCGGCGACAGCGTTTTTTATGACGGACTGGATGTCCAAGCGGCTGAGGTAACCTCCGTGGGAGTACTTGAAGTCGTAGAACTCCCCGGAAAGGGCAATGTCTCCGGTGATGTTGGACCCGGTTTGGTCGGTGTAGAGCCGGACGGTGCGCCACCAGTCGGCGACTGACGGATACGAGGCGGAGGACGACGGAGCAGAGAGAGAATAGATGAAATCTCTTATGGTGGCCTGCTGGTTTTGGTACCAGTGGCCATACCATATGATGTAAACGTTGATGGGAGATGCAAGGACAGGACCCATGTGGTACTGAAGGTCCACAAGATCCGACGAGCCCTCGTAGTTCTTGGCCTCGCCGAACTCTCTGCTCCGGTCCGGTGATGACGCCGTGGAAGAAAACCTCGAGAGACAGACGCAGAGCAAGAGAAGCTCGATCCACTGGGGCTGCATATTTGCTTGTTTTTCTGTTTACTGATGAAGTTGTCTTGTGGGTGGTGATGACCAGAGAGAGAGCAAGTGATTATAAAGAGGAAGACGTGGGGTAGCTAGCTTCTTCTTCAGTAATGGGAAGGTGAGATTCTTCTCTTTGCAATATTTATATAATTCCGACTTTCCGAAATTGCTGCTTTATAATATGTTTCTTGTCCCCACATCTCGTGTTCAATCTTCTGGTTCCTCCTTCTCAAGATCCAATGGGGATTCTTCAATTTGATTTGTCTTTTTGATGCCTATACATTGCCATACTCGAAGCACTTGGACTATTATAAGAAATTTGTTACTATTATATGCGCCGAAACCGCAACCGCAAAACGATTCATATGAGGAACGGCGTTCGGTTGATGGAGTTTAGTATTTCAATTAGAGAAATGCTAAATGCACCGGATCTTTACTTGGATTAGCATAGCCATTTTCCTCTCATCATTAAAAGAGAGTGAACAAAGTAGGACGAATCATGCATAAAGGAGAGGTGGTTGAGAAGGAAAGGAGAGAAAGCATGGCATGCGTCAATCATGCACGCAAAGTGGAAAGGCTTCATTTAACTTTCGATCGCTTGGGAACAAATTTACTAATTTCACCATGCCTGAAACGCAAGTTGTGGCACCCACTCACATTGAGTAGGAAATAGAATGTCAATTAGTGATATAGAACTGCAGAATTTCATCTCAATCATCGGCACTCATCCCTTCGCTCACGTGAAATTATATCGTTTATTTTGAGGGCTTGCTCAACGTGAATCGTATCATATCGCTGCTAGGGATATGGGTGTAGTAAACAAGATACGATCAAACCCGTTTTGAATCCGGTTTGGGATAAAAATGCTCCACGGTAGGAGCCGCCTTCCGAACCCGCATGGCCACCCCTACTTCTATCCTGCGTGTTGTGGTTTTGAGCTATATACATTGGCCTCGACGACGGCGTCGATTTTATATCACGTGAACTTTTTTATGGGTGCTTCGAGTCTTCACCGGAGGTAAGAAAGCCTCTTTTCGAGTACCGGTCCCGATGGACTGGGGTCGGTTGTTACAAGGGAAGAAAAGCTTTCCCCTACTTTATAACCTTGACCAGCAAGATCATGATCAAATTGGGAATCCTACATCAGTAACCCGAGTCCCCACGGATTAACTTAATCAATTGCTAATCCCACCTCACTGCTTTGACGAATGGCCCTGGAGAGAGAATCAATTGTAGCTCGAAAGAGAAAGATTAGAGTCAACAAAATTGAGCAATTATGGGTGTGCCCCGCGGGTAAAACCGGACCATGTGATGTTTTGCCTTTGCAAAGTAATCTCACTTTTGGACTGACATCATTTGACACTTTATACGACATTGGACCGCACTACAGTTCTTTACGTCCAAAAGTCATTGTTCATGTGACAAGTCAATTGATTTTTGTTGAATGACATCAGAAGACGAGCCAAGTGCGGAGATATGGAAGATTTTTGTCGATCAAACACAAGATTTTCGAACTACCAAGCTAGAATTGTCCAACAAAGAAGAATCTTACTTACCCACGATTGACAAGTCTGTATGTGATTAATTACTTAGGAGAAGAACCATCATTTCTTAACTTCACCAACCATTACCAACCTTCGAGTGATTCGTCAACTTTTCTTTTTCCAAATTTAGTAACTCAATAGAAAATTTAGTATAATTCAAATGGAAGTTGATATTCTGGAGCTAGTTAGTATCGTAATAGGGAAAAGCTGATCAATCCTTTAAATTATTAATAGTTTCATAGAAGAGTTGGTAAATTTTGCGTAAAGGTTATGACTAAATTGGTAGAATGAAATAAAAATTGAGGATTGAATTGATATTCGTACAATAAGTCTGGAACCGATTGAGTAATTTTCTCCTAAAAATCTACATCTTTCGCGGAGTCTTATGTACATATTTTAATTTCTCCCCTCCATGTTCAAGGCCCATGTGTTGGCAAAGTAAGTGGTCAGCACTTGAGGCAGAGCTTTCTGAACAATAATCCCACTATTGACTTGATTCAGAGAGGCAGGTGTGCCTGCTTCATAACCAAAGAAATCCCCGCGGAAGTCGCTGCCAAACAGCCGCATCCGGTGCAGGACATGCAACGGGCCACCGCTTAAATTACAAGCGATCAGAGCGATATCGACGGGGAATTTTGAACACGTTGAGTTTACACGGCAGAACAGATGATGCTTACGTTGATGTTCCCCATCCTAGTGGATCGACATTCAACCTACATTTGGCTGATCAGCTCGTGGTGTGTGGAGCACTTATTCTTGTCCTTTGGGGGATTGTTCCTATCGTTGCTTAGAATACGCATGTGGTAGGTCCTTCAGATACTGAACTTGAGTTAGTGAACTGCTTCCAAAATGTAAAGAGATTGCTGAAGATTTGTTCTGCAATGATGATGGTATCGATATTTCCTGCAATGTGTGAGGGTTGCTAGGAAGACGGAGAGTCCGAATGACCGAAACATGGCTGCGATATTAATTTGTATCGAGACGGGGGGATGGCATCACTAGAGGTGGTAGCGGTGGTGAGCGACTGAAATGTCGCAAGGCACTGCGCGGTAGAGGCAATGATAAAGAGACAAGAGAAAGAGAGACTGATGATT